TACATGTGTGTGTTACTTAGCTTTAGATTAGTTTATGATCAGTTTTTTTCATGTTTAGATTTTAGAAGTTATAGAGATATATAAATGAGTAGTTTGCTGATACCTGCTATGTTTGAAGTATTGTCAGGGATGTTTAGTTTTCTAGTCACTTTAGATTGTAGTTTATTGCATGCTTTTCTACATTCGGTTGTTTAGTAGGCACTGTTGTCATCATTTCCATTATTTCTTGTCAGACTTGTGTTAGAAACCATAAATCTAGGCTGCACTGATAATAGAAGCAGGCTGTAACTTGATCTACTTCTTTTGTCAAAGTATAACACCATGAACTGCCTGTAGTAAATTGACATGCCATGCCATTAACTCTAGCCCTTCACAAATGTCGGTGGGCAGCAGGTTTTTGGGCAATTAGCTTGTGGCTGTGCTTTAAAACCTTAGGAATTTACAACTGTAAGCTAGAATTTTGGCAACCCTTGACTTGTATTTCATTCATCTATTTTCTGACAGAAAATGCTAACTATATACAGAACTTCCACATTTAATTTTAAAATGGCAAGTTATTCTTTAACTTGTAAGCTATAAATTTAAATAACTTAAAATATGATTTTCTTGTATTTGTTCTTAATTCCTTCCTTCCTTCCTTCCTTCCTTCCTTCCTTCCTTCCTTCCTTCCTTCCTTCCTTCCTTCCTTCCTTCCTTCCTTGTTTTTTTTGAGCCAGGATCTCATGTAGCTCAGACTGACCTTGAACTCATTATCCTCCTGTCTCCAATATTCCATGTTGGATTTGTTTTGACAAACAAAAAGGCTAATTTCTAATTCGTTGGGGGTAGATCTTTCTAAAAGATTGCTAAAATCTTTCCTATAGAAAACTTTATTTTTGTTGGAAGATTCAATTTGATTGCAAATCCTTACTACCATAATATAAATATTGGTTAGTCGCTAATGGGATTGTTACTTTATTTTATTCTTAGTAATATTTTTATTTTGAGACACTCTTCCTATTTGCAGTCTTCTTGACATAGCTTCTCATGTACTGTGTCACCATGCCTGGCTATTTTCAATATTATGTAATGTAGGATTTTTTTATAGTTTCTTTCATTTAGGTATAAAAGTGGGACTTTTGATTATTTTAATAACCTGGGTGAATTAAATCCATAATTGTAAAGTCTTAACATGATGAATCATGGTCACGCCAACAAGTAACATGGGTATATACACCTTTACTGTCCTTTTTTTTTGGATAGCCGTCAGCACTGCAAAAATCTTAGTTATAAGAGTGCTTTTGTTAGAGAGAAGCATGTTGCTATAATATACTTGAATTAAATGAACACTTGTTTCAAGTCAAATGAAAAACTTTAAGTGTGTTTTGTGCTTTAACTTATTTTGCCTTCTTGCATACTACAGTGTGGACAAAGGGTTTTGATTTAGCTGAAAATGTTGGCTTTATAAATTTATAATATGCATAGATAGAATTTAATTGGAAGATTATTTGTATATGGAATTTTAAAATGTATATAAAATACATACTTTCAAATTTATGTTTATGGGTCCATATGTATGTTATTTTTAATTTAAAGGATAAACAACAGATGGATAACAACATGCAGTTCTTGGTAGTGAGCTTATAGGTCGGTTTTCACCCTCACATTTACTTATCTGTGTAATAATTTTGAGGACAAATTGTTTGATGATTAATTTTTTTAAAGAAAATAAAATTCAGTTCCTGGGAATACACAAGCCTGGCCCAGTGTGGGTCAAAAACTTTTTTCAGGGTTAACTCAAAGGAAAAAAAATATTTGTGAATACTTATCTCAGAGTTACTCAGTACAAGGTGACGTTAGTTTGGGATTTACTAGACCATTTCTCTGATAATTAGTAGAGAATGGCTTCTCTTTTGGCAATGAAAATATCTGATCATTATAAACCTATATATTTAATTTACATCACTTATTTTGTTTCTGTCTTTGGGGCCACACTTGTTCAAGACTCTAGATTGAGTACTATACTTACATGGCTATATCTCATTTTCATGGCTACATGGTATAGTGTAAGGAATGTTGCATATAATTTAACATTGGAAAACCTCTGAGCCATCTATACAGCCTTGAATCTTCCTTTATTGTCTTCTGGACTCATGCACCTTGCAGTTGCAGCTGATACCAAATAGTCTGCCCAATTGATTATCATAGTCTGACTTTTAGAGGTTAAGTCAGAGAGATGAGTAATGTTTTATGAGTTGTGTGTGTATGGGTACCTCCTGAAGTCATGATCTCTGAGAGAATATAGAAGGAATTGAGGACCAAGAAGAAGCTTGATCAACAATGGATTTCAGATTTCATAAAGCTAGTGGCAGATACAGGAGCTGCTTTTGTGTCTTCAGTCTCACATTCAACTTTGTTTTTTCTCTGTCCGTTGAATGACTCACTCCAACCCCACACACATACAGTATTCGTGCACAGGCAAATATAAACTCATGAAACTTAAATGTGGGTCACTCAATCCTTTCTCCTCTTAGTATCTTCTTTATAGCCATCATTCTCTTAAATCTGAAGTTTTCCACACATTCAAGCATTTGTTTAAGGATGCAAGCATTCTCTTCTCTGTCTTTTGTTTTTCTTCTCTTGAGTCAAGAGTTTTCTCCCATTTATTTGCCTGCTAGCCCTGCCTAGCCTTTCTCTTCCCAGCTACTGGCTGTTCAGCTCTTTATTAGACCAATCAGGTGACTTAGGCAGGCAAGGTGAAGCAAATGCAACATATCTTTAAATAATTAAACACACATGTTTAGCCCCTTAAACAAATGCAATGTAAACAAAAGTAACACACTTTTACACAGTTAAAGTGATATTCAACAACATAAATGTAACACATCTTTGCCTACTTAAAATACTATTTCACAGCACTCAGCTTTTAAAAACAGTGCATGCATGCATGCCTGCCTGCCTGCCTGCCTGCTTGCCTGTCTGTCTATTACCCATGTTTTGTGCTTGTGCTTTTGTCTGTCTTATGCTCTTGGAGTTCAGAAGATGGTTTCTAATCCTCTGAAACTGTAGTTACAGCATCTGTGAGCTCTCCAACTTGTTTTCTGGGAACTGAACTCCAGGCCAATGTAATAACTATTAGCTACTGAGCCATCTCTCTAGCACAAAATTCCCAGCTTTTATGTAATAAACTGTGTATCTTTTCCCCTATTCTTTTCTACCTTCAGTTACAGGTCTTACTGGGTATTAAAACTGGCTTCAAATTCACTAGTCTCCTATTTGTGCCTCCTAAATGCTAGGATTATAGTCATGTTCTCCACTGAAAACTCTATAGAGTGTGTATCCTCTACCCACATAAGACCAAGCACATCATAGGAATTAAATCAATATTTGTTAAGTGAATGAATAAACCAAATCTGGAGTCAAATATTTGTATTGAATAAAGAAACAGGAAAACTTTCATGAAATAGGTTGAATTTATTGATGATCTCAAAGTACTGGTAGTATTCCAAGAAGCAGAAGAGGGTATTCTATATAGTCAAAACAAGAGAGGAGCCACTGAAACAAAAATCTTTTGGGGTTGGTGTATAGGGTGTGTTTGATTGATATGTCTGGTGGTTTAGAAATTGTGGAGAATCTTAGTGTTAACCCATAGAAAGTTCTGGATTTTTTTCCTTTTATTCTTTTTTTGTGTTTTTTTTTTCGAGACAGGGTTTCTCTGTATTGTTTTGGTGGCTGTCCTGGAACTTGCTCTGTAGACCAGGCTGGCCTTGAAGTCAAAGAGTTCCACCTGCCCCTGCCTCCCGAGTGCTGGGATTAAAGGTGTGCGCCAACGCCTGGCCTTGGATTTTTTTTTTCTTAATTGCATAGCCAGTTGAAACAGGAGGGTAACAGCCTCCTGTTTGGAGGAAAACAGCCCAGACTTTATCTGACATTATGTATTATTACATTAGAAAAGTACATCAATGGCAAAACAAGTTGAACAGCTGTGTTACTATAGCAGGTAGAACTGAATGAAAGTATAGACCAGTGAGTGTCAAGGGAAAGGAAAATTAGGAGTGTAGTCTATTGTTGGCCACTGAGTGAAAGAACAGATGTACAGCTAAGTATTGAGAAAAGTATTGGTATTGGTGAAGAGCAAACTATCAGAAGAAGCAAAGTTAGGTGAGTTGAGGTTTAAAATACAAGTAAGTCTCATAGGTTAGAGATGCAGATGTCTTTCTGGGCAATTTCATAAGTATATTCCCTTATTTACCAAATTGCATTCAGTCTATACACCATCACATCTTAACAGCAGGCATACAGCGTTGGCATCCTGTATTGAGATTTTCTATGCACATGATATTTTTTTTATAATATTTAGTCTGTGTTTTATTAGTACATCAATTTTTGGCTAGGATTAAGCTCTTCTGGTAGAAGGACAGTCTAATAAATATATTTGTTTTAGAGTATGGGATATTTTGAGGACATGCAGGAAAACAATCAAACCAGTTAATAGTGGTTTAAATCTATAAAGGCCTTCTAACAAGCAGTTTGCCCCTAAAATTAATTTACTTGAATTTTGAGACAGAATCTCACTATGCAATCCTGGATGAGTTTAAATTTAAGATCCACCTGCCTCAGCTTCCTGAGTGCTGATATTATAGGCCTGTACCACAGGACTTACTCAGCTCTTAACAAGTAATTCTTGTTAGGAGGTTTGATTGTGGAACTTTTCATTGCATTCATGGTTTTTCTACTTCTCACCAATATTATGTGGACTCTGGTATAGGCCTTAAATTGAAATTCAGTGACTGCCAACCTACCATCTGCTCTGATTTTCCCTTTCATTTTTGATACCCTAAATGAGAGTCCTATACTTACCCATGTTCCATTAACATTTACTACTCATACACTCTTTTTTCTAGTTAACAGCTACCTTACCATTTTATTGAGGTGATCTGACTCTGAAACTCATTTTTGCTACTATTACCTCTTAGAAATTTACGGTACTTAAAGTAAGGCATATATGTTTTTCTTTGTAGGAAAATAAAGCAGAAGAGGATATCATGGGACAAACAGTGAATGAAGGTAAGATTTGCCTATGTAAAGATTGTTTTTAGTTGTTTATAACAAGTACCTTAATATATACTGAATTCTAATATGAATGAATAATTCTTTCATTCTGTCTTTCTGTATGAAGAAGTCTGCTTCTTAAGGACTCATTAATATGCCACACCTGTCTATACTTTGTTGTGCTTTATTTGCTATAATGTTTTCTTCACACATTTGCCTCCTTGTTCAAGTCTTGTATTATCTGACTGCCTTTTTTCTGATTACATGTTGAGTTCTGAATGTTGTCCTTTCATTTTGTTTAGTTTGTTTGTTCACATTGAAGTAGTATTTATAAATAGATTACTGATTTACCTGAAAAAAGACCAATGCCATTGTATCTTTGTCTTAGAATTTCCTTACTAAAGAACTCTTTAGTAAATTTTATGAGTGTGTGATTTCTTCATACAATTTTAACAGAAGATGGCTATGTATTTCTCTAAAGTATTCATGTACACTGAAGAATTTCTTAATCAAAATCTGAAAGACATATCAATTATTGCTATATGGGAACTCTGAGTCCCGAGATTCAAGCATTCACACTTATAATAATGAAGGCAGGATACTGTTGATTATTTGATGATATTAAGAACTTAGGTTAATGGAGGAAGGGAAGCAAGAGAAAGAGTAGCAGAAAAGGCGAACAGGGAGGAGAACATGAGGGATCAGGAAGGTGGAGTTGGGGGAAAAACAGAGAAAGACAGCAAGGAAAGAGATGCCTTAATAGAAGGAGCCATTATGAACTTATGGAGAAATCTGGCACAAGGAAAATCTCCAGGAATCCACAAGGATGACCCCAACTAAGAATGTAAGCAATAGTGGAGAATCTACCTTAAATGTCCTTCCCGTATAATGAGATTAATGACTACCTTAAATGCTATCTTAGAGCCTTCATCCAGTAGCTGATGGAAGTAGAAACAGGTACCCACAGCTAAGCACTGAGCTGAACTCCTGGAATCCAGTCATAATGAGGGAGGAATGATGAGCAAAGGGGTCAAGACCATGCTGAGGAAACTCACAGAAACAGCTGACCTGACCAATAGGAGCTCAAGGACCCCCAGACTGACAGCTGGGGAACCAGCATAAGACTAAACCAAGCCCCCTGAATGTTTGTGTCAGTTGGGGGACTTGGACAGTCTATGGGGCCACTGGCAGTGGAACCAGTATTTATTTCTCACGTATGAATGGGTTTTGGGAGCCCATTCCTTGTGGAGATATACTCTCTCAGCCTAGATACACAGGGGAGGATCTAGGTCCTGTCCCAAATGATGTGACAGACTTAGATGATCCCCCATGAGAGGCATCACCCTCCCTGAGAAGTGGATGAGGGAATGGGGGGATGGAAGTGGGAGGGAGAAGGGACAGGGATTGGTATGTAAAATAAGATTGTTTTTAATTTAAATAAAAATTTAAAGAATAAAAATAAAGAACTTTTTAGCATTATAATTTATATTTATTTCTTTCATACATACTCTAATTTGTTTGAGTGAAATGATATATTTTAGTTTTGGTGACATCTCAAGAAGTTTGAGTTCTTTTGTTGAATTATTTAGTTTAGCATACATGAAAACCAGAATAGTTCATTGAAGTATATTATACTCTATTCTAGATTGCATGTGATGTTTTAAAGCATCACTCTGTTTCTAGGAAATTATTTTTTTATTTTAGAAACACTCTTACATATACATCACCCCTTCCCTCGTCCTCCCATCCTCCCATGCTTCCCACTGACCCCCAACCCACCTCCCACCCATTCCCTAGGGATAGTGAAACCCTCTATGGGGGATCATCAAAGTCCATCACATCATTTCGGGGAGGGCCCAGGCCCTCCTTTCCATATCTGGGCTGCAATAGTATCCCTCCATAGGGAATGGACTCCCAAAGTCCATTTGTGACTTAGGAATAAACACTGACTCCACTGTTAGAGGTTCCATAGACTGTCTTGGCCGACTAGCTGGCACCCACATTCAGAGGGCTTGGTTCCGTCCAATTCTGGTCTAGGAAATCGTTTTAAGCAGTTTAAGGATCCATCAATAGTTCATTTAGATTATTGGCACATTCATTTATCAAATGTTTGAGACCATTCTATATTCCAGATCATGAACTATTTTGTAAGCATATATTACTTAGCAAGACAGACAAAATTAAATACCTGCTTTTATGAAGCTCTTATTTTAGTAGTGAAAAATTCAGTAAACAAAATGTACAAGTAAGTTATAAAGTATAGCATACATCAGAAATTTTTGAGACACACAGAAAATGAAGATTATTATAAATTTTAAACAAGTTCCCATTAAAATTAAATTAATTTTATAATTTTGAAGTGCTTGTTCAGACTATTCCAATGTTATTTTTTCCCCTTTGTTTAGAATCAATGGATGTCAAGAAGGACAATCAAGAAAAAACTACTCATTCAAGTACATCTACTGTGGAAAGCAGTAAGTATGTTTTAAAGTAATTTAATACATCATTTTTCTTCCTCATTCAGTGTTATAATGAGCTCATGTTAGTATGGTGTGCTAACTTCCAATTCCATAAAATCTTAGTCATAGGGTCAAAATTTTACTGCGACATTTTAACTTTAATTTCATTTAAAGATGAATTGATAAAGTTTACATGAAATTGCAACTACATTTTTAAGTATAAATTTTTCCAATTTTTATTAGAAAATTGTCACTTAAAATTATCAGACTTTTTATTTAGAAATGAAAGTACCTAATCAACTAGGCAATTATATGAATATATTTTCAGGATTTAGACCCTAGCATTTCACTTTAGTAACCAGTGAGTGACTGTTAGAGATAGTGTGTTTATTTATTTTTATTTTTTTATATTTTGGCTGATGCATCTGTTATACTTAGGATGCATGACACATATTATGGCCCAAACAAGACAGATACAATTTCTGCTTTCTCGGATCTTAAGTGGGCTGGTAGATAGTAAATACCTAATTATAGTTGTAACAAATCCTATGAAATAATGTGTGCTGTTCATTAAATTTAAGAAACTTTATCTAAGATATCCCCTCTCACCATCTTCACATAACATATGAAACCACGTCTGGCATTGGTAAAAGACATTATAATTGTGATTCACTCCAGAGAAAATCATTGAGTTTGATAGAGATTATATTCCCTGTGCCACAATGTATTAGACCTAATTTATAAATTAGAATGGAGTACAGGATAATATGAAGAAGGACTCCATGAATTTGTGTGTGTACAATAGTCAGATCACACAATCATGTATGTGCACCCATCTTTTGAAGAGATATATATGTTTCCAGATATCTTCTCCAAGAGAAAATGACCTCAGCCTCTCCTATTCTAATGAGAACATGACACAAAGGTAGAAAAACAACTTCAGGTTGACTGTTGGTTTCTGGTTAGGAATTCCAACGGTGATGTCGATGTAGGTATTAGGTGTGTAAAATCTAAACCATAAATATTGGATCCATGTGTATTTTCATTGTGTTAATGGTAGTGATCTTCACATGGGAAGCCAAAAAGAGTTTTGTTAAGACAAAGTAAGTCTCTTGTATATATATTATAGATTGTCATTGGCTAACAATATGATAGAAATAATGCTAATAGAGCAATACTGGATAGGAGTTGGTAATTCAGATTATAGCCAGTTCAGATACAAACTAAGATAGAATATTTACAACTTATGTTTCTAAGAGTTTGTTGAACATATCTGTAATTCCCTAAGATTCTACTCTGTTAGATGCTTGAAACTAGATAGTAATATGTGCTTTACATACAAATGTATGATAATTTTTTATTTATAAATAAGGCACAATGAGAGATTGGCAGCTATTAGCATAAATATCATGAACCTCAAAATAGTTTTTCTTTCATTGTTGAGAGCTTTCACATTTCCATTTAATGAAAGAGTAGACCTTTTTGGTTTCTCCCTGTCATCTGAATTGCCAGCATCAGTATTCTTGTACTTTGTGATCATTGTTGAAAGTAAGATAAGACATTTGAACACTGTCTCTTACCTTAGCAGGCAGTTTGATGACAAATTTGTTACTATGTGATTTAACAGGCTGGTTGTGTTCATGGCATAAGCCTCTTGATTGGGGCAGAGTGTGACTATGTGAGATTTCATCACACTGCTTACAGCAACTGTACAATTTAAAACTTATGAATTATCTCTGAAATTTTCCCTTTAATATTTTGGAAAGAAATTGAATCAAGATAATTGAAATCATAATAAGGGAAGCTGAGGATAAAGAAGTACCATTGTGCATCAGAAACTTGTAATTCAGATTCACTCAGGGAAGAGAAGTCAAAAAAATTTTATAGAGTTTAACAAGAATATCAAAAACATTGTGTTTGCTGAAAATCCAACTCTATATATGAATATATAATTTGTTAGTATTTTCGGTCAGTCTGTCAAGGGTCTTGACAGTCTGGTTAGCATAACAAGAGTATTTAAGCCAGGCAGAGTGTGCTGCTTTCTGATTGCACTGCGCTATATCATGAAGACTACATGAAGCATGGCAAGAATACATAGCACATGGGCATCACTAAAATAATGTTTCACTGACTGCACTGTCCACATGTTTACTGCTCTGTCTTAACACCATATTTTTGATACTATGGGTGGAAATTGAATAGTCCAGTAAGAACTACTCTGGTTCTCAGAATTTTCTTTTTATAAAACATCACAGTGTTAAAAATTCTGTTAGAATATATATTAAACACCTTTAGCTCCCCATAAAAAGCAAAGTGCCTTCATATTAATGGAATGATACAGTTTCAGCAAAAGTTTAAAGCAAATGTATATTTGACGCATATGCGTAGATTTTCTAGTCTATAAACTTTTCCTGGTTGTTTCTAGTGTGCACACTTCTTTTTTGTATTGTAAAATATTGAGCCTTGGGCCTCTACTTTTGCTTCACATCCCAGCCCATCCTTCAAAATCATTCTGCTTTAAGTTCACAATTCATTACGACAATATGGGTTATAATTTTCATTAGAACAATTATTATCAGTAAGTTGCTTCTATTTCTGTGCATAATTGAATGTACCTTGAGAAGTTATAACCTGATTTGTAGAAAGTATTGTTTCTCTTTTTTAATTTTTGAGATTATAATGTAATTATAATACTTTACTCTTCCCTTTCCTCCCTTCAAAACTCTTGTCCTACATATGGATTAAAACTTAATTCAGTCAGAAGAAAATCTTACTGTATACTCCAAACCCAACTTATTTTGTATTTTTTCCAGATTATTTTGACTGGGACAAGTATTTGAAAGAGACTGGTTCTGTACGTGCTCCTTCAGAATACTTCAGACAGGTATGCCAAAATTCCATTCAGACTATACAGTAATGTACAGAATTATCTTGTGGAATGGTATCGTAGTTTCAGGGTTCTGGTATTATTAGGAGAAAGTAGGATTATGTTTCTGCCACTCAAAACCAAATGATCTATTTGCAGTAATTTTGTTAGATATACTAAGCTCTTAAAATTGCCCATCTAGAGGCAAAGACAGAAATAACAAATATGAGAAATGTGATAACCCTGTACTGAGAGGGCTCATGAAACAGATGTTATTTAAGATTATCAGAAGGAGAAGAAAGAAAACATCCAAAATTATTTAAATATCAAACTATGGCACAAAGTAGCTGGAGTGCAAGGTGGATAGAGGCACATATGGGATGAAGGCTAAAGATGTGTAGGGTGTTTGAAGTATGCTGGATAGTTTAACTTCATCATAGACTTTAATAGGATTTCTAGGTTGCTCATTTCAAAGCTTAATGGAATTCTTATTTTTTAAGTTTTTCAGGGTGTATTTTTAGGCTCTATTTGGGTTTTCTGGATATGCAGTTGAGTGAGACTAGTGATAGCTAGCGTTTTTATGCTGCATGTCAGTCAAAAGGGAGGTTTTGCCTTGAGCCTTAGTAACACTGACCTCATTCACCTGCTGTGACTTTACCTAATAAACACCTTTTAAGTATTCTGGTACCATAGTTTGCCATCTGTTTTTCTTAGAGTTCATGCACTTAACACAATGTTATTTATATATAGTCTCAGACTCCACCAACTAATGAATTCCAAGTTGGTATGAAATTGGAAGCCCGTGACCCTCGCAATATTGGTTCAGTGTGTGTTGCTTCTGTTATTGCAACTACTGGGGCCAGATTACGTTTACGACTGGATGGTAGTGACAATAAGAATGATTTTTGGAGACTTGTTGATTCATCAGACATACAGCCTGTTGGGACATGTGAACAGGAAGGAGATTTACTTCAACCTCCACTGGGTAAGGATAAACAGTGCCTGAAATAACATATTCTTACTAATAAGCTATTCACTAGAGATGGTTTGAAATGTCCTTTTGAAAACCACTTTGACCTTATTTCTAAGTATATGGTCAGGGAGTTACTGTAGAGGATATGTGATTGGAGAGGAACTCCATACTATGTCACTTGTATACATACTGCACGAGTGTGCTGAAAAGTCTCACTTTTGAGCAAATGTTACAGTAATTTTCAAAGTTAAAATACCCAAAAAGCTTTCTTACGCTTCTAGAAACTCTTCTAGAGAAGAAGTCTGTAATATTTCATATGAGTGAAACACCTCTTGATACTGGCTATTGAGCCATTCAACAGTTTTGGTATGAGGATAAGGACAGGAAGAATGTAAGATTATGAGAGTAGTACAAGAACCAGCAATTTTTCGTCATTGAGAGAGTTCTTTCAGTGCTAACCATTAGATACCAAGGAACCTAGATACTGTTAGACATAGGAAAAGTGAAAGAGTATACATTTTAGCCAAGGGTTTACGTTTAAGTGCATGTAGTGTTTGGCTGAGCCATGTTTTTTAAATGTGAAAAGTTTATGACATATTTTGGAAAAAATCTTTTTAGAATCGAAGAATATCTGTATAATGTGTAGAAAATCAGTGATTCATTTATTTCATCATCATTTTTCATTTTCAATGATTTCAGGTGTTTTCATGTTCTTTATAATGCTTAAAATAAGAATTAATGTAAAACTCAGAATGGATTTTTTTCCTATTAATGAAGTATTTCCCAAGAACCAGAACACTGAAAATAATTACTTTGGTAATATCTTTTAAAGTTTTGTTTATTAAAATTGATTTAGTTTAAGGGTTGGGGTGTAGCCCAGTGAAAAGAGCATATACTTAGCATTCATGAAGAACTATACTAAATTCTAATTACCAAAAATTATTTTAAAGTAATTTTAAAGGGGATGCAGTGAAGCTTAGTGGCAAGGTTCTTGCTTAGCAGCCCCCCTTCATTGATTTTTAAACCGGTCAGAGGTAGATTTGCCTTTTCTTTCTTTTCTGAGACTGGATCATAGTTATATATACATAGTTCAGGTTGGCCTTGAAGTATTGATCTTCCTCTTTCAGCTTCCCAAGTGCTGAGATTATAGGTATGTGTCACTGCACAAAAAGATCTATTTTTGCCTTTTCTTTAACACTTATTTATTGTATGTGTATGTGTATGTATACACATGGGACACAGAATACATGTGAAAGTCAGAATACAGCCTGGGGAAATCATTTGTCTTCCTTGTACCATGTGGGCTCTAATTGTCAAATTCAGGTGGTCAGGCTTGGCAATAAGCATTGAATAACAAGCATTCCATCCATTTCCACTATCACCATGTGTTTTCCTAGTTATATTTTAGGGAATATCAGTAAAAGATTATTTGAGGATGACTTGGTCTATCTTAACATGTTTTGCATATGTTGCCTATTGATAGCTCTGTTGCCAGTGATTCACATGCACCCCTCTCTTAGTGAATGAATTCATCAAGAGTGCACAGAAACCTTTTTTCAGTTCTAGCATTGGGGGAGGCAGGTTTTGAGTGAGAATGGTTGCCCCAGAAAACAGTAAAACTAGCAAACTTATACTCCCTGCTGCAAATGTAAAATGCTGATTTAAGTTGGTAAAATTTCTAAACATAGCTATTTTGGTAACTTCTGTTATAAATTTTAAGATTATGTCTAGTATGTATAAGAATTGCTAAAGGAAGTCTTTTTCCTAATATTTTATGAAAAGTTTTAGTCATATACAAAATGTAAAAATTTTTACAATGAACATTCATAGACTCACTACTTCATTATTTTACCATATTGTTTTATTATTTATCTGTTCATCCATCTTATTTTTATGTATCCCAGAATAGTTATTGATGTTAATATACTTCCGTTAAGTATTTAAGCATACATATTGTTTACTAGAATACATATTCATTGCTTTTCATCTTTAAAATTTTAAAATAAGATGCATTTTGTATATGTACATTTGCGAGGTTCAACATAAATGGTCTTTTTGAAAGTCAGAGGCTCCAAGGAAAAGGGCTTGAAGCCTTTTGCAACCTTTTCCTATGCTTGCATGGATTTGGGTGGAAAAATGAAAGCTTTCTAGGCTGTGGTTTGTATTAACTGTATTATTATGGCTTGTCCCCAACATAAATGTGTTGGTTGGCAAAACCTAGCCAATGGCTTCTTAAAATGAAAATTTCTAGTTCCACTTTGACATTGTTGCCAGACATCAGAGCGATGGCTGTAGCTACAAGAAGATTCATCTCCTTTTACTCAAATCTTTAGAAAGTAATTCTCTGAAGGGGATATGTTAATATAACTCATTTGTTCTATATTACCATAGTTTCACATGTTTTTCATGATACCTAATTTATAAAACAGGGTACAGAATGAAAGTTTCATCTTGGCCCATGTTCTTACTACGAACACTAACTGGATCTGAACTGGCACCTGCAGTATTCTTTAAGAAGGTAAGAAAAGCATTAGAAGAAATTTCTGTCCTCTAGCACATGATTTTATTTTTTTAATGGGAATGCGCAATACTTTGTCATTTCCAACACGGACTTTTTTTTTTCAATGCCTAGTTAGTTTGTTAGGGCCACTGTAACAAAGTGGAGTGCCTTACATAATAAAAAAAGTTTTTCCACAATTTTCAGGCTAGAAGAACAAAACTAGGGTGCCTTGAAGGTTGCTTTATAGCTGACTACCTCCTTGTGTCCTTTTAGGGCCTCTTCTCTTTGTGTATACACCCAGTGGGTCTCTTCCTCTTATTACATCATACTAGTCAAACTGGATTAAGGCTCTGTTTTCAAATGTATTCATATTGGTAGTACTTGAACAGAAATTTAGGGTAGTTGCTATGAATTCATTAGTCTAATAATCCTGTCACACCCAGAAAGATTGTTTTTGCTGTTTCTCCCTGACCTCTGGCTCTTAGAATCTTCCTGCCTTTTTTTCCCATGATGGCTCACTCCTGAGTGTTGTGGTAGTGGGATGGTATGATACGGCTATCCCTTTCATAGCTGAGAACATTTATCCTCTGCGCCATGACCAGTTGATTAACAGTTTCCTTTGTAGTACAGAGTCTTTTTAATTCCATACAGTCAAAATTGTTGATTGTTGCATTTACTCCAGGGTGATTGGAATCCTAATCAGAAAGTCCTTACCTCAGCCAATATACTGAAGTATATTCCCTACTCTTTATTCTAGAAGTTTTGTAATTTCAGATTTATCATTGATTTTTTTATTTATTTGGCATTGATTTGGGTGCAGGCTGAGACAGAAGGATCAAATTTCATTCTTCTATATGTATATAGCTAGATTTCTTGATACAATTTGTTTAAATAGCCGTCTTGTCTCTAGTGTATGTTTTTGGTACCTTCGTCAGAAATCAGGTAGTTGTAGGTATATGTAGTCTTGCCTGGGTCCTCAATGCTCTTCCATTGATCATAGTGTCTCTTTTTGTCCTGGTACCATGCTGGTTTTACTACTATGGCTCTATAGTGTAACTTGAAATCAGGGATAGTGATATCCCCACCAGTAGTTTTTTTGTTTGTTTTATTCTTCACAATTGCTTTGGCTATCTAGTGTATTACTTTGGGCTTCCATATGCATTTTAAGATTGAATTTTCAGTTTCTGTAAAATGTTTTTGGAATATTGGTAGAGATTGCATTAAATCTGTAGATTGTTTTTGATAGGATAACCATTTTCATAATATTAATACTACCATTCCATGTGAAGGTCTCCCTTTCTTGTGTCATCTTCATTTTTTTCCTCTGGTGTTTTAAATTTGTCACTGTAGATAGCTAGATTTATTTAAACATCAGTTCTGGAGATTAGAAGTCTGACATGAAGGTGCAGACAGTACTTCTAATGCTTCCTACATTTCCTTGCATAGTCTTTCTGTGTCATCATGCTTGTCAACAGTCTTACTGTTTTTTGACAGACTTCAGAGCCTTTCCTATTTTTATCTCTTCAGAATAAAATCTATCCTTTGATATTCTGACTCTTCTTTCCTGGAGTCAGAGGAGAAACCCTTTAAAGTGATATTTCCCTAGAAGCAATATTTAATATTTTTGCCAGTTAATCTTAAATTTCTGCCACATGACAGAACATACTTTTTGTATGAGTGCATGGATCAGGCTAGTTTTGTTTCCTTCTAGGTCTTTGGCTCTACAAGAAAAAAGTGAAATATTCAAGGAATAGTTTGTGATTTTTAAGAATACCTTTCTTCCTGATAAATATTAAGCCTATTTTTCTTACTAAGGATTATAAAAGAACACACTGAAAAGATAATTCTTAATATATCTTAACTGTGAAAAATTTAAAAAATGTTTTTATAGGAACCACCACCACCACCCCTAAATAATTTTAAAGTGGGGATGAAGATTGAAGCTGTCGATAGAAAAAATCCATATCTGATCTGCCCTGCCACAATTGGAGCTGTCAAAGGAGATCAAATTCATGTTACTTTTGATGGATGGAGTGGAACATTTGATTACTGGTGCAAATATGACTCCCGGGACATCTTCCCAGTTGGATGGTGTTGCCTCACAGGAGATGTATTGCAGCCACCAGGAAATACTGGTAAGATAATATCTAATTATTATTATTATTATCTATGTTTTGTTATTTTAGATCTTATTTTGGTGGCATTGTGTTTAGTAGTGGTGATAATAGGACTTGATGTCAAATTAGAATTTCAGGTAGACAAGTAAATAACATTCTTTAGTCTAGGTACCAGAGTTTATGAAAGGTTCAAATTAAGATAATTAGAATTCTTTTTTAAATAATTTTTATTTGTATTGTATGTACATTGGTGTTTTGCCTGCATGTATGTTGGTGCAAGGCTGTTGAATTCCCTGGAACAGGAGTTACAGGCAGTTGTGACCTGCCATATGGATGCTGGGAATTGAACCCAGGTCCTCTCAAAGAGCAGGCAGTGCTCTTAGCCATCTCTTTAGGCCTAGGATAATTAGAATTCTTGATTGCACTCCAGACATCTTATGTCTTATGAGCTAGAGCTCATGCTAAGCATATCAGCAAAGCCAAAAGTCACATTTGGAATGTTGGTACCCTGTTGTTATAGTCATCGAATGTGTATAGGTGGTAGTTAATATTTAAAATTATGTTTGTAATTACCTCAATTAAAATGCATGCATGAGTTCTGGGGATATAGCTCAGTGTAGAATGAGTGCATAGCATGTACTGGGCCCCGAATTCTGTTCTTGACACCTTTTAAAAATAATTTGCACATGGTATTTCATTAGTCACATCTGGACATAATAAGTATCAAAATACATTTTAAGTGGTTCTGTTTATATTTTAAAGATAACATTTGATATTCTCAAGTAAAATGTATATGCGAGTAAATTTTTTGCTTTTTCTTTTGTTTTTATTATTCATAATTTTATGTATATATTATTTTTAAATTTAAATTAGAAACAAGGTTCACTTCACATGTCAATTCCAGGTCCCTCTCCATTTCCCTCCCCTCCTCCCACACCCTCCCACCAAGCCCCCAATATCCCCTCATTTCCCCAGGGAGGGTGAGGCCCTCCATGGGGGTGTGCATAGTCTGTCATTTCATGCAGGGCAGGGCCTAGATCCTCCCCCAAGAGTCCAGGGTGAGAGTGCATCTCACATTGTTGGATGGGAGTCCAAAGTCCATTTGTATACCCGGGATAAATACTGATCTACTACCCAAGGCTCAATAGATTACCTAGGCCTCCTCACTGACACCCACATTCAGGGGGTCTTGATCAGTCCCATGCTGGATTCCCAGGCATCACCCTGGGATTCAAGAGCTAACCCTTGTCAGGCCAGCTGTTTCTGGGGGTTAAACCAGCCCAGTCTTAATGTCTTTGGTCATCCGTCCTCCTTCTCTGTCACTGGATTTCTTGAGTTCAGCTCAGTGCTTAGCCGTGGGAGTCTGCTTCTGCTTCCATCAGCCACTGAATGAAGGTTCTATTTCCCAGACTCTCTGGCCCTGGGATTGTAGGCTGGCACTCCCCAGATCTATGTCTAAAATCCATATATGAGAGAATACATGCCATGTTTCTCTTTTTTTGACTGTGTTACCTCGCTCAGGATGGTTTCTTCTAGTGCCATCCATTTGCCTGCAAATTTCAGGATTCCATTGTTTTTTTCTGCTGAATAGTACTCCATTGTGTAAATGTACCACATTTTCTCTATCCACTCTTCAGTTGGGGGCATCTAGGTTGTTTCCAAGTTCTGACTATTACAAATAATGGTGCTATGAATATAGTGGAACAGACATCCTTGTTGTATGAATGGCCATCTTTTGGATATATGCCTAAGAGTGGAATTGCTGGGTCTTGTGGTAGGTTTATTCCCATTTTTCTGAGGAATCTCCATACTGATTTCCAGAGTGGCTGTACAAGTTGACACTCCCACCAGCAGTGGAGCAGTGTTCCCCTTTCACCACATCCTTTCCAGCATAAATTGTTGTTGGTGTTTTTGATTTTCGCCATTCTGACAGGAGTGAGATGGTATCTCAGAGTTGTTTTGATTTGTATTTCCTGGATGGCTAAGGATGTTGAGCACTTTCTCAAGTGCCTCTTAGCCATTTTAGACTCCTCTATTGAGAATTCTCTATTTAGTTCTGCAGCCCACTTTTTAATTGGATCCTTTGGTGTTTTGGAGACTTGCTTCTTGAGTTCTTTGTAAATTTTGGAGATCAGCCCTCTGTCAGATGTGGGGTTAGTGAATATTTTTTTCCCATTCTGTGGGCTGCCTTTTTGTCTTGCTGACTGTTTCCTTTGCCTTACAGAAGCTTCTCAGTTTCAGGAGGTCCCATTTATTAATTTTTGATCTCACTGTCTGCTACTGGTGTTATGTTCAGGAAGCTGGATCCTGTACCAGTTCTTTCAAGGGTATCATGAGTGTTAAGTTAATCATATTTCATAAGTTAAAATTTTATATTGATTTTGAGTATTTCTTAAATGTAGTAGAAATATTTTTCAATTTATAAAGAATTGCTTTTTCATACACTTAAAGGTTTATAAAAATAATCAATAAAAACAATATATTTCCAGTTTTTAGAAAAGTATAGTGAGACATGAATGCTACTAAATTAGGAGAATGAATTTTCATTTGCTTTACAACTTCTATTTTTTTTTTTTTACAAACACTTATATGATCAGAAATAATGAAGTTTGTAATTAGGCTTCACAGGGGTAGAGAAATCTGTACTTTTAAAATTTATCCACATTTTCTTACCCAACCTCTTTTTATGACCCTGTGCTCTTTTAAAACTCTCTGTGATGTCACAACTGATCAAATTTCTTTCCAAGACTGTTAATACAGTGTGCATAGTGAAGAAGGATCAGAACTGCATATGTGTTACTATGTCCTTAGCAACTTGGAGGAGAGGGTCGCATAATTGAAAACAGGTCTTATTGCAGATTTTCTTTTAACAATTTCTTTGATATTGCTTCTTTTGCAGTTTTACCCACTCCCATGTCTTCTTTGTAAATCTCAATTCCCTTTCGACTACTTATATAGTGATAGAAATTTAACGATTCCCTATATACTATTTATTTTTCTCATATTGCTTTCCCCATGTCTCCAGAATGTTATAGGAGTTTAGCCAGTCATTACAAATATATAATGCAGAAAGGAACAAACAGGATATATTCCAGTAATTTAGGATCGTAACTGGAGTGACCCTTTTTTTTTAATGTGCGAACATATTTTTCTTTTTTTATTTGGATGAAGATATACATTTGTCATTTGAGACATTCAGAAGAATAAGATTCCGTTTTAAAAAGTGCCCCCCAGGGGCTGGAGAAATGACTCAATGGCGAAGAGCACTGGCTGCTTTTCCAGAGGACTTGAGTTTTATTCCTAGCACCTGTGTATGAGCTCACAGTCTCCTGAATCTGCAGTCCCAGGGTACCTGACAGCTTCTTAGGTCTTCTGAAGGGCACCATACATGGCACACATAGTTGCATAGACATATATGCAGGCAAAACATACACATAAAATAAATAATTACAATTTTGCCCCAGTAATTTTCCTAAGATTATGCGATATTTAGTCTTCAAAAACTAGTTCTATTGTAAATGTTTTACTTTACTTTAACAATCCTTAAGTATTTTAATCATGAAATATATAAATTAAATTGAACTTAAATAATTTTTAAAACTGTGGATTTTTATAATTAAGTGCATAATTATAATACTGATTTTAGTAACTATCTTCAGTTAATGTGAATATATCTTTCACTCGGACTCTTCAATCATTATATTCATTTCCTTCACCGGTTTGTGTTTTCCTTGCCTTTTTAAAGGGATTTGTTCCTTTCCTCCTTAAGTGCCTCTATTATCTTCATAAGAATGGATTTAAAGTCATTTTCTCATGCTTCTGCTGTGTTTACTGGAGTAGGATAGCTGGGCTCTAGTGATGCCATATTGCCCTGGGTTGCTGACTGTGTTTTCATGCTGGCCTACTAGTCATATGGGTTTGGGGTTATTATCACTTTAGGTGCTGAGTTTTGAGTTTATTCTTTACTGGGTGGATGCTTTTTGGACGTTTTTCCCCCTTTCTGTTTTCTCTCCGGTCTTCTGGGCTGAGTGACAAACTATAACATTATAGACTAGCAAAAAGCAAACTTTCCGGTGATTTGAGTCTAAAACTGCAGGATCTCTAGGGTATGAAGGAATTCCTTCTGTCTAAAGAACTGTGGAGGAGAGCATACCTAGATTCAGTAATGTGGAGCTATGCATTGTTACTTCATTTGCACTCAAGGTTAAAAGAAAAATCAATCTTAATCACAATTATCTTTGTATTATTTGCCATTTCTTTGAATCTTTATTTTATGCTTTCATGGAGGTTCCTCTAAAAATGTGTAACTGATTCTTTTATGTAGTCTTTCTTTATTTTGGAAAAGTAGCATTTAGCAGTTTTCTCCTTATCCTGTTCCAAAGTGTGTCTCTTGGGAAGTATTTCACATCTTTAAAATTTTTTTTTTGGTTTTTATGAGACAGGGTTTCTCTGTATTGTTTTGGAGGCTGTCGGTCCAGCCTGGCCTCGAACTCACAGAGATCCGCCTGGCTCTGCTTCCCAAGTGCTGGGATTAAAGGCGTGCACCACCACTGCCCAGCTTCACATCTTTAATTTGCAAATAAGAAACAGCTTTATTTTCCACTTCTTTATTACCCCCACACCAAAACTGTATAAATTATGTCTGCTGTTTTCTTTGTTCAAAGAAGTATGTATGTTCTACAACTTATGCTTTTCCTCTCTAAATTTCAAAATTAAGATTTTGTATGTTTTAAAACATCTCTTTACCAACTTTATTATTGTAGGACTGTGTGTGCTTATCTAAAAACTACATAAAGTAGTTTTTTGTCTGATGGATCAGATAATGATACATGTGCTTATAATGAAGGCTATAAAGAGTTCAAGATAGATTTGATCATAATACCTTATATGCACATATAAAATTCTCAGAAAAAGTTTAAACGAAATTTAAAGTAAGTGTGTCAGTCTTGCTGACTGACGTTCAAATATTCATTTAGATTTTTGCTCTTGATGTGATTTGCAATGCAGTATAGTTTAATATACTTAGTACATTGAACATTTTTTTGGTTAGGTATGAATGAAATTTCTAGAAATGCTGTCAATCCAAAAAGGCATGAAATCTAAAATATATTTTCTGTCGTATATAAACAGCTTGGATAAGTGTTTCACTTGTGTGAGGGAGAAAGCTATTATGATACAAAGAAGTAGCTTGGAATAAATAGTCTTTTTCTCTGATCTAAATATTTCTTGCTAAGTATTAAGATAATTACAAGCAGTGCCTAGGCTTTTAAATCATTCTTGGTTCTGTGCTATGATTTATTTTTGCAGGGTTCTCTTAAGGCTATTAAGAATGCCCTGGTTAAAGGAACATGTGGTTCAGCATGGATAACTTTCTCTAGAGACACAATGGGTTGGTAGTTAGATTTTGCCTGTCTTTTCATTTCTTTCCAAATTCTCTGACCCAGGGTAACCTTTGTTCCTTCTTTGAGGGTGAAATGAAGGGAGCTTGAGCAGGTGACTGATGATCCCTGTCTCAACAGCTCACAGACAATATACAAATTACATTACCAGCCCCCTTTATCTGTTCCCTTCACTCCTCCCTCCTTAAATCAACAATGCAAATAGCTCTGTCCCCATTTGCTAGAAATTCAGGCTTGTTCAGGCAACATGGGCTTTGTTGTTGAGTCCTTTTCTCCAGAAATTCAGTTTTAATTCTGGCTAGGAAGAATAAGGCTATGAAGTGGAACCTAAGTCAGCTTAATGATAAATACAGCAGCAGCTTGTCTCTCTGGAGTATTTATAAAGGTAGGAATTAGCTTTATATTGTAGTTAAATTCTGGATAAAAAATCTATTGTCTGCTTTGTTAGTTTGTGTGCACTATGTATACCAAAGACTTTAGTTAGACTGTCGTGTTGTAAATATTACTTTTTAAAACTTTTAGCACTATTATTTGAATAGTCACTTTCAAAGGTTTTTTTAAAGACATGAAGAAAAATTCAGTCTTTGTTTATTTCTATCATAAGATGAATATTTGTAATTTTAAAAACAAGGAACAATCTAAGAATTTTTAATTATTTAGTTGACCAGTTTATAATGAAAGCATTATAATTTTTCTCTTAGGTTTTAGGAATATGACCATAAATAATTTTCCACTAACATTGAATGAGACTTACTAAAACAACTTTATTCTATGGAATATGAATAACATTTTGCTGATAATTACATCAAAAAATTTAAATGTTGTTTGTGAAAATTAGTGTCTGCTGTGATTATTTTGAACAGCATAATGTGTAAGTCACTGTTAGAAATTATTCAGAAGGAAAAATATACTATGATTTAAAAGTCAAGTGATTTTTTAAGCTTATATTGTTCAAATTGTTCTATAATTGCTCCTTTGTGTGCAGTTTCTTCTGAAAATATTAAAGATTATAGATATTGTACTTTTTGATACTGTCAAGTATATATTAGTAGCAGTTGTAAAATAGTCATCATGGAAAATATTCCTCAGAAAACTGAAGGGAATAGTTTACAGTGCTTCTGTGATCCACAAGCAAAAAGCATATATACTTTTTAAATATTACTCTAAAGCCCATATAAATTCTGAATGCGATTTCTTGCTTATTGATTTTTTTACTTCTTTCCTAGGCTGAATATTTATGAGATACAACTATATAACTGGACTGGAAAAGCATTTAAATGTTGTTAGATCTAATTTTATTTTAGCATAGAATGTATACCAAGGAGGAAAAGACACTCTTTGTTTTTCAAAGACAAGATCTCACTCTGTAATATAGGCTAGACTTGAACTCACAGCAGTTTTCCTGCCTCCCTCTCCCAAGTACTGGGATTATATGTCTCAATAACCATTCTAATTTTTCCTGTTTGTAACCTTTAAAAATAACTTAAATATGATATACCAACTATGCCAGACTTTGAACTCCCTAAGGAAGGCCTTATCCCCTCTGTGGCCTGAATGGGGGATAGAAGGGATGGGTGGGGGAACTGGGGTTGATATGTACACTGAAAAAATTTAATAAAAATAACTTTAATTTGTGAGCTAATTTTTAAAATATAATTGAATCAAAGTTATATTTAGAACCCTTAAATATAGTTTATTGTTGGTTTAGTTATTAACAGCTCTTAGGGATGGCATGTTACTGCTATATTTGACACCTTCCAAAGGATGAATCCTTGGTTTTCTAAGAGAATCATTTCCTTGTAGATAAGAGTCACCTTTTATTATATGTTTGTATATTTTTAGTACTAAAAATGTGTTGTTGACTCCTAGAGAGAAATCCATTCGGGTTATCAAAGAGACTCAACAAGGAGGATGGAGGAGCTAAGGTTCAGACTTGTTAATATCTATTAGGGTCTTAGAGTGTGGGTGATAGATAAATGGACAATTAGTAAAAATCTTCAGATCAGAATTGAGCAATTGATACATGACCCACCAGGTTTTAAAATAAAAACAGGGACAGTTACCACTAAATTTTAGGAAAGTTTTCTTCCAGTGTAGCCTGTTCTTTTTCCTTTTAACAATCAGTTTGTAAATAAAGGGAACAAAAAACGTTTTTTCTTGTTAGGGGCACTGTGGAAAGGTAGAAGACAGTGGAAAGTGGTATCTAGATTAGGTGATGATACAGGAAGAATTATAAGTGGAAACCTGTGGAAGGATGACAGTGGAAAGTGATATCTAGATTAGGTGATGATACAGGAAGAATTATAAGTGGAAACCTGTGGATGGATGACAGTGGAAAGTGATATCTAGATTAGGTGATGATACAGGAAGAATTATAAGTGGAAACCTGTGGATGGATGGCTAAAACATAACAGAGAATGCCTACTCTTGTGAATACAGGTAGCATTGTGTGTTTCTAGGATTCAACTACCTGTAGAACAGAGAAGCCTTTTCCTTCATGGAATGCCAAGTCAGGTTTTTTTGAAGGACTTCTGCCTAAGATAATTAATGTATACTTGAGTTCTGTGATTGCTTGATACTGAGCTATATATTATTGTGTATTATTTCTGAAAACTCTAAAGATCACTGCTGACATGCAGTGGAACTGTAAAAGTATACCTTTTATTTTTAGTTCATTCATAGTCAGTCATTCCTCAGTATCCTTAGGGGATTGGTTCCGTGACCAATAGAGACGGCAAAATCCAAGGGTGACTAAATCCTATATAAAATGGTGGAGTGTTTGTGTATTGCCTATTTATACTGTCTTTTATATTTTAAATCATCACTTGGTTCAATAGAAGTGATACATAAATAGTTGTATCATTTAAGAAATAATGACAAATCTGTATATGTTCAGTAGTGATACAGATTTTTTTCTCAGCATTATCTATCCATCGGTGGTCAAATCTATAGATTTACTATAGAGTCAGCTATATGACTAATTAAGTGTAATGTTATACTTTATCAATTTTTTAGATAGCTGATTCTGTTATTTACAGAAGTTGCTATATTGTTTATCTTTTGTGAACCACTTTATATTTTTAATAGCAAATTGATATTTATTACAGAACATTCAGAAAATATAACAGTGGTCAGAAGATAACCTAAAATTGCATGTATTCTTCCCTTCTAGAAATAATGATTGCTAATAATTTTGTATATAAGCTTTAGGATATTTTTATTAAAACTTGGACTGTTAATTGCCAGTACTCATAGAGACCAACTGCAGACATCTTACAGAGCATGTATTGTATTATCTTCATGTATATAGAATTGATTTGTTTCTATTTACTTAGATATTTTATTATTATGATTAGTGGGCATTCTTTCTCTAAGAAATAAAAAAGAACCAAGAAATTTGTTAGAAAGCACTCCTTCAAATATTAGATGCAGTTTTTTGCTTGAATGCATATTTAACCTGTAAAATTTGAAAACTTCAGATATTTTTACTCAAAGTCATTACTTTGAAGTCAAACAAAATGAACATTTCAATAAAATTGAAGAAAACTAAATCCCCGAAACATCGGCTTACTGAGAACACATTGGTGCTTATTTTCAACACTACTTTATGCATTCCTTTGAGGCTTGCATGTAAGTGTCCTCAAATTTGAACATAAAAAGTATTTACCCTCATTACTTAATTCCATATTTTTAAATCCTATGGATTTTAGTGCTTTATTATTGTAACATTACCATTTATATCCCACTTTACTAATTTGGGTGTTTGATTTGGTTAGCTTAAGGATTTATAAGCCTTATTTATCTTTCATAAAAGCAATTATTTTTTTGTTTTGGTTTCCATTACATTAATTTTTGGGCTAGTCTTTTTCTCTTCTAGGAATTTTTAGTTTGGGATTTTTTAGTCTTCTAAAACCTTTAGATGTATCATTAGGTTATTGTGATATCTGATTTCAATGCATTCTTAGCTATAAAATTCCATCTTTATATCAGAATGTGTGTGTGTGTGTGTGTGTGTGATGTCTGCCAGCCAAAATGCAATTTTAAAATCAATAATGTTTGCTGCATAAACTAGTTTTCATACTAAGGAAATTTTCAAGGCATGATTACTGAAATATCTCTATTTTTAAAATGAACATAGACACAATTTATCTGTTATCATCACATACAATATTAGAATTGTATGAATTAGGCTATCAGATAACTAGAAACTGTATATCACATGTGAATGAATGTCTTTTTATGACACTATATTAGAATGCATAAATTATTATTAGAGCTTTTATATTTGGCATGCATACAGGAACCTAAAGTGTTCTAGCTTTTAAGTACATCTAATTTTTTTTCATTTTATTTCTCAAAAAAGCTGAAAAGAAACCAAAGAGCAGAGGAGCAACTAGACCTTGGAAAGATGGAGCCACAGCTTTGGAGACTGAAGGAGCAGCCCCAGGTGATTGATTTGTTTTCCTACATTAATCTGCAAGATGATTCCTGTACATTGAATAATAGTTTAGTGTTTCAGAAGGAAAGGCTCTTTTCTGCTTTAAGAAAACAAATACAAAAAGTAGATCAATGTTAAATTGCTAAAAATTTTCACTGTCATAAATCAATGATGCTTAGACTTCTTTTCCAGCTACATGAAATTCTAATGGGCTTAAAATTTCCATTTAAGTGACACCTTCAAAAACATTTTTAGTTTTAATTTTAATGCTTTTCTTTGAGAATTTCATATAATTTATTTTGATCATATGTTTTCCCTGCCCCCTGTTCCTCAGGATCTTCCCATACCTCCCTATCCACTTGAATTCCTGTTTCTATACTATTAAAAAGGAGAAGTGAAGCACATAAAATATTTGAGTTCGATATATGTTTTCAGCCTATCTTGAACGTGGGGCCTACCTTGGAATGATACCCAGTGTCATTCCAATGAAAAAATCTTATCTTCTCTTATCCAGCAGTTCTCAGTTGTAAATTATTTCTTGGCTAGGGCTGGGACTGTGTTCCTACTTCTCCTCCATCCTAGGATTTTGTCAGGCTCAAGCTTATTCAAGTATCATACATTCTGTTTCAGTCTTTTTGAATTCCTTTCTTCATCTGTCCTGTTAGGTCTTCGAAACCCTGTCTCCTTGAAGACTTCTAACATCTCTGGTTTTCCAATCTTTTTTGTCTTCACTTCCACATAGATCCATGAGCCTTGACAGTAGGGATTTGATTCTGACATCCGTGTAAGGTTGAGTATTTCAAAGTCTAACTTTCTTCAGGTGGTCCACTTGTAGGTATCTATGTTAATTGCCATCCACTGCATGAGGCTTTTCTGATAAGGGTTTAGTGATGCCCAGATCAATGAATATGCCATTAGGAGTCATTTTATTGTAATTAACAGAATAATAATGGTATATTTTCCCACAAGGCCCTAAGACCTATCTTGTCACAGGTTATTGGTCTCATTGGCAGTGTCAGTTACAGATTTTTAGCCTTTCATCCACTGAAAAAATAGTTCATTCTACAACATTCTTGCCACTATTGATTTCAAATTTTGATTTACTCAGTTTTTCTTTGCCTGAATCTTTTTCTTTTTTTCTTTTTCTTTTGCAGAACCTCTAACTCTTTGATAGATTTTGTATCATAGTTGTTGAGGTATCTCATCCTATCTCTGAACTGCCTGGCTAAATTTACCTCTTCATTTAAATCACCTGTAAAAGTAGACTTTTGAATTCCTTGTCCAAAATTTTTGCCATTTCAATATCTTTGATTTGGTTATATAGGACTTGGGAATAATTTATATAAATAAATATATAAGATATATATACATCTCTGTGTGCATGTGTTTTTGCATATACATGCAGGTACACAGACAGAAGAAGGCGTTGAATACTCAGCAGCTGCCGTTACAGGCACTTGTGAACCACTTGATGTGGGTGTTGGAAACTGAACTCAGGTTCTATGGAAGAGCAGCAGAAAATACTTTGAATTGCCGACTCGTTTTTTTTCAGGCCTAAAAAGAGCTTTAAGATGGTATAATAGAATATGTAAGCTCACTTCCAGAGATGGCCTTTAAACTTCATATAAAGTAGACGGTTGGAACATTTGTTGAATGGAGCACAGAGATAAAATATTGTAACAGAATATGCTTAAAATAAATTGCAACAGTGATTCTTTCATAGAGGTTAGAGTGGACATTGCAGAGGGCCATATCCAGCTCATGTGGCTGTGTGACAAGATTGATTTTTATGTTCTTTGGTTAGTTTTGTTTTTCTTTAAAGTGCACAAAGAATGTGGCAGGCACAGAGATTATATGTATCTCTGTGTCCATCAGAATATTTGCTGTCTAGCTCCTTACAAAACAAAATTGATAAGCTTTTTTTCTGACTAGAGAAAGTAGATGAGAATGAGACTCAGAGGCAAGAGCGGACTCAATGCTTAAGAGTGAAGGGATACTTAATTATAGAAGATTTGGTGGACTTAACATGAGGTATAGAGCAAAGCCAGAAGAAACATAATGGATTGAATGAAAATAGAAGGAGCTATGGATAAACTTTGCAATGGGAGTATAAAACAGGATCAGTTGGTCTGAAACCAGAGATAGCAAATAAGGGAGTTTAGGGGTGGACAATGGGACACTGTTGTCTTGGAGATAAAAGAGTTCCAGAAATTGACAGGAATATTCATTTCCAGGACCTTAGTTGGAATCTTTATTGAAAATGTCAATGTGATACTCTGATACTAGTCAAATCCTGAAAGTGATGACAGAGAGACAATGTTAAAAAAAGTAATGTAACGTCACTAGATTTCTTTAAAAAATAGGGGACACATTGAACCAAGAGTGTAATAGGAATCTGGCTTATATGGGTGAATTAGTTGTAAATGGAGGGTTAAGTTATGTTAATAATTAAATGATTTTAATCAGCCTTGGTAGCTGAGGATAGACTATTTCTATTCAGTGATTAGTAGAACTAAAATAAGAAGGCTACAGAAAATGGGATATTTGCTATCACAGGTCTTGTTTATGCAAACTGTATGATCTTTGGGTAAGGAAGAAGTTCTTTGGGTAAGGAAGAAGTAAGTAATAGACTATTTAAACTTACAAAGGCCTCAGAATGAGAACTGTTGTGCTTTAAATGCAAGGATATTTATGAGTGGTGTATATGTTTCACATATATCCTAGAAAAGGTTTTTTATTTAGAATTAATAGTTTTGCTATATAAAATACTTACCCTGAAATAATCAAATTCTGAAGGAGTTAGTTCTGAAATATTTCTCATTTTTAATTGTAAACATAGACACAAGTAACCCGGGAGGTAATTTTCACAAAATATGAAAATTACCTGAATTTGGCTACCAAGCAACTGGAAGCTACATATCACATGAGCATGATGGTAGCCTTTTAATGATAACACTATAGAAGTGTCTATATTTTGTAATTAAGAAGCTGTATTGTTTGGTGTACATACAGGAACACAATAGAATACACTGATTATATCAACCACAACTAAGTCTTCTTGTAAATTTGTATCACTTTTTTATTTCAAACCTTCAAAAGCTGCAAATAACCCAAGGACAGGATATTCACCAACCCTTTGGAGGTTGAAGGCAGACCTGTGAAAGATGACCAAGCATCCCCAGGTCATTGCTTTATTTTTTATATTGATTTGCAAGATAATTCCTGTACACTGAATGAAAATTGAAGGAAAACTTCTTTTCTGTTTTAGGAAAACAAATACAGAATGATACAGTGATAATAGTGTTAGCTTTGCTAGTCTTGTGTTTTTGTTTTAATAAAAGTTTACTTGTAAGAGAAATAGAACATTGCCTTCTTTTTGGATAGTTAGACTATTTCCTGATTATATGAAAATTTAAAGTATATAAATCTTCATTTATGTGGCATCCTTGTTTAAAATTATTTTTCTGCTAATACTTTTATTTATTCTTTGAGAATTTCATACAATTTATTTTTATCACACTCCTTACCCTTCAACTCCTCCCAAATTGTCTGCCACCTCTCCATCCTGTGGACTTCATGTTTTTAATCTCTCTTAAATAAATGTGGCAAAACACATAATAACTTGTAGTCTGATTTGTGTCAGCTGACTACTTTTGAACATATGGACTGCTTTGTGTGTTGATATAATCATATTGCCACTGGTTTTCATATGAATGTTTTGAAAGACCTTTATTTTTAAACGTGGAGTGTGAGGCAGTTGTTAAAAGCGAAATGAGAGTCTGGTGAATAACGTTAAATTAATTGTGAATGAAGGGTGAAGCTATGGCAGCAATTAAATTTAATTAAATAGTCTTTAAAATATGTTATTTTCCCTGGTAGCTAAAAATAGGTGGTATCCTTTTCTGTGAACAGAAGATGTGACATAAAAAGGTTCTTTAAAGATGGGGCATTTGTTTTCACATGTCCTGTTTATGTATATGTATGGTCTTTTGACCCAGAAGAAGCAATTCTGTAGACTGTTTCACATTATGACACAAGCCCTCAAAAAAGTATAACTGAGCTTTGAAAACATATATTTGTGTGATTTGTATGTGTATCTTTCAGATCTCTGCATACAAAGAAATTTATTTAGAAATACTACTTTTTACTAAGTAAAATTTATTTTTCTAGTAACCAAATTGTGAAGGAATTGGTTGTAAACTTTTTCTGTTGTCAAACTTTTAACATAGACACAAATGACCTGGCAGTTATTCCTCACAGTTAATATTAATGTTTTATCAGAAATGGACTGTTGGAAGCCACATACCACCTGAGCATGATGGTAGCCTTTTATTGACAACACTATAGGAGATTCTATGTTTTATTATAGGAGGATTTATTACTTGGCATACATATAGGAACGTAGTATGTTCCTGCTTTTAATGTACTTCACTATTGTTTTTGTCTCATACCTCCCAGAAGCTGCAGAAAAATCCAAGGGCAGTGTATTCACTAACCCTTTTGTGGATGAAGACAGACCTGTGAAAGATGACCAAACAGCCCCAGGTGATTGCTTTAACTTTCCATATTCATTTGAAGATAATTCCTGCACAGTGAATAATGGTATAGTGTTTCAGAAGGAAAAACTTTTCTGTTTTAAGAAAATCTATAAAAAGGAGCCCAGTGATAAATTGCTAGAAATTTTTAGTGGTCCAGTTCAAAGTTTCTGTTTGTTTTAAATTAATGCATCCTTTTACACTACTTTCTGATTATATGAAACTCTTCTGTATGTACATCTTCATTTATATAGCAACTTTGATTTAAATTATTGTGTTATAATTTTCATACATTTTATTTTGTTCTTATTCCTTCCCCTCTCCTGACTCTTCTCAAATTGTCCTCCATGTCTTTATCCTCTGGACTTTATGTTCTTACTTTCTCTTAAACAAACATGAAAAACACCTAAAAAATGAGAGTCAGATTTGTGTTAGCCAACTATTCCTGAACATATCACTTGGCTTTGTGTGTGGTTGATATAATTAGTGTTATTCCATTGAAGAAAATGCATTTTCCATTTCTAACAGCTTTAATTCTTGGATAGGACTAGAATTTGTATACCTATTTCCCCTTCTCTGTGTTGGGATTTTTCCAGGCTTGAGATTATAGGGATGTGATACAGACATCCCACTTAGGGTTGAACACTGCAGTCTCTTGCTCTGTGCATGTAATCCACTTATAAGTACTGTTTTAATTATCATGCAATGTAAGGAGCTTCTCTGATGATGCTTGAGTGATGCACTGTTCAGTGAGTATAACAACCTGTTATGGAGTCATTTTATCTCTATGTCCATTCAGAAGAATCATATTAGAAGGATTTGCCCTAAGGCTTGTGATCTGTCTAATATCAAGTTCCTACCCTGATTAACAGTGTCAAGTATGGGGTCCATTTAATGGAGGGGGTTTTAAATCCAATTAAACAGTGCTTTGTTACTCCCATAGCATTTATACTATCTTTGCATCAGTGTGTTTTACAGAAAGATCAATTTTGTACATCACTAGGTTAGTACATGGGCCAGATTGATAATTTCTTTGCCCTGTTGGTAGTGTGTGTAGCACCTTTTGGCATTATGAAACCTAGCCAGTAATAGTGAAGCTTCCATTTCAGTACCAGCTAGGTTTTTCTATGTTCCAAGACATAATAAGTTGGTGGTGCATTCCACAAATTAAAACTACCTTAAGATCTTACTGTCAAGTTTTAGAGGATAACCAATAGCATTACCAAAATAGCCTGTAGTGTAGAAGGGTAGGGGTCTATGAGACACCTTTGGCCAGAATGTCAAAAAGTGACATCCCATTTCTAAAATGTGCTTTTATTAGGTAACAAGTGGTGTCTACTTTGAGGAAGCAAGTATCTCTCTATTACATGACCACTCGACTGTAACTTTTTTAATATACTTATTTCAGGGAATTTCTATTACAATAGGTTTCTTTATTGCCCTTTTGAAAGACTTTCCTTGTTAGATATCCTTCCCCACAATTTCATCTTTATTCTTCAATTTCTCACCCCATTTAATACGTGTAAATCTTTTTAGTCTGTATGAATAATCTTTGTAAGTATGCCTATGGCTATTCAGTTTGTTGCACGTTCTTTATCTTATTCATAGATTAGCTATGAACCTGTGATTCCCCCTGAGAAGGTGAGGTATTACACTCAAAGTGCTTGTTTGTCCTGTCACACTCAGAGTCTTTGGGTCTATCTCTCTTCTTCATCCCTGCCTGGGGCCAGTGGCAAATTGAGTTTTAAATTTTAATTTGTTTTTCTGTGCTTAGCTTTTCTATGCAAGTTGCTATGTTTTTCATCCTATCTCTGAATGGACTGCCTGAATTACTTTTATGTTCATTTTAATCCAATTTGGATTCATTAATCATCTTTAAAATTGGAATTCTGGATTCTTTATCTTTGGTTATTGGCGAGTTAGAAGCTTTAGAATTTTTATCTATTATCTATCTGTATGTGTGTCTGCCTGTGTTTTTGCACATGCATGGAGGTGTCCCCAGAGGATAGAAGAGGGCATTGAATTCTGTCACTAGAATTACAGGAACTTGTGATCCACTTGGTATGGTGTTAGAAATTTGACTCTGGTCTTCTGCAAGGGAAACAATAAGTACTATTGCCTTTTGAACCCTGTCCTCAGCCTCAAGCATAGTTTTAAGGTGATATATATATATATATATATATATATATATAAAGATAGCCTTTAATCTACTATCATAGAAAGTGGGTGTTGAATGCTTTGCTGAATGGAGCAGAGAGAAATAAGAGTTGTAATTTTTAAAAAGTTGCTCGAGAAAGACACCATGTTAAAGAGTTCAAGCAGAGGGGTTTTGTACTAGGAGAAAGGATTGTAAAAAGAGTAAAAGGGACCAGGTAGATTGGCCTCCATGGACAGGAACAGCCATGGTGGGGGGATGGAGAAACAGATCCTGGGAGAGAAAGGAGAGAGGAGAGGAGAGAGATGGAAGGTGGTCAGGGACCATTTAAAAGGGAACATATTGAATAGGCACAGGTGGTGCTCTTAGGGCCAGCAGCTGAGGGCATCTCCTTTCAGAACTCCAAAGGCAGGGCAGTACAAATGCCTAAATACTAACAGGGGTGGGAACTTAACCAGAGTAAAAACATTTTAGGAATCTATTTATAAATAAATTACAGCAACAACTCTTCTATTGAGATTATCTTGGGTGTTGCAGAGCAGGCCAAATCCATCCCTTGTACCAATATAAGATTGGTTTTATATTCCTTTGTTTGTTTTTGTTAAAAAGCAACCGAAGAATGTATGGGAGAGGTCATATGTAGCTGTCACAATGATTCCTGTCTGTCTGTCTACAAAACTAGATTGTTAACCTTTAGGCTGTTGTTTCTGACTAGAAAAAGTTGATGACAAATGGCTTGGAAGTGAGAGCTGACTCACTGCTCAAGATTATAGAAGGAAGAAATAATTCATTTAGAGGTATTGATGAAGGTGGACAGTTGAGTTCTTTTGCATCAGGAGTAGAGTAAAGCCAAAAGAAACCTAATGGATTGGATGAAAATAAGAGAACTGTGACTAAATTTTGCAATGAGAGTGTAAAACATGATCAGGAGGGTAGACAAAGAGACACTATTGTCTTGAAGATAGAAGAGATCCAGAAATTGCCAAGAATGACCATTTCAGGTTGTTATCTGAAATCTTTATTGGTGATGTTAATATGAGGCATCAGTGGTATGGTCCTGGTCAACCCCTGAAATTGATGACAGGGAGACTATGAAAAGAAAAGGTAATATGAGTAACATTACTAGAGTTCTTTAAATTGAGAGGTTTGAACCTGGAAAATAAGTAAAGTAGTTGTTAAGAAACCCATAGAAACAGCTGACCTGAACAAGGGGGAGCTCATAGACCCCAGACTGATAGCTGAGACGCTAGCATGGGATTGATCCAGACCCCCTGAACGTGGGTGTCAGTGAGGAGGCTTCAGCATTCTTTGGGACCTCAGGCAATAGATCAGCATTTAGCCCTGTCATACAGATGGACTTTAGGAGCCTATTCCAAGTGGAGGGATGCTGTGTCCACCTGGACACATGAGGGAGGGTCTAGGCCCTGCCCCCGATCATATGACAGACTTTTGAGATCCCCCATAAGCTCCTCACCCTCATTGAAGAGTGGAGTGGGGTTTGGGGGAGGTGTTGTGGGAGGGTTGAAGGGGGGGCCTGGGAGAAGAAGGGAGGGAGTGGGAGCTGAGATTGACCTGTGAAGCAAACTTGTTTATAATTTAAATTAAAGAAAAACTTGAAAATGAAATAAGTAGAGTCTGATGTATATAAGTGAAATTAGTTTTAAATGAAGTATAGAGTTTTGGTGGCAGTTATATGATCCTATTATTTTCCCTGATAGCTAAGGATAGATTACATCCATTTTGGTGAGTAGAAGTCGAATAAAAATGCTCCAAAAAGATGGGATAGCTTCTATACCTGGTCCTATTTATGAGTACCTTTGAGCACAGAAAATTTAAAACTGTAGGTTGATTTAAGTTATAAGATAAAGCCCTTAAGATTAGAGTAGTTAATATTTGAAAACAGTTATATTAGTGTGTGTGCATGTATATGTTTATGTGTGTTTTATATCTATTTAGAATTGATACATTTGCTATGTAAAATCCTTTTTATCTGATAACAAAATTGCAAAGGTGTAGATATTGAAATATCTTGTTTGTAAAAAGTGTGAACATTGACACAAAGTACGTGGCAGATTTTTTTTTGGTTTTATGAGACAGGGTGTCTCTGTATTGTTTTTGAGGCTGTTGGTCCAGCCCGGCCTCGAACTCACAGAGATCCGCCTGCCTCTGCCTCTTGAGTGCTGGGATTAAAGGCGTGCGCCACAACTGCCTGACCATGGCAGATATTTTTAACACACACCGTTTAAATTGTCAAAATTAGGTTACCAGGTAACTGAAAGCTGTATATCATGTGAGCATGATGAAACCTTTTCATGACAACATTATAAGGGAGTCTATATTTTATTATAGGGAGCTTTATTTGACATCCATATAATGTGTTATTGCTTAAAATGTACACCATTTTTCTTTTCATTTTATATCTCAACAAAGGTTGGAAAAAACCCAAGGGCAGAGGATTCACCAAACCTGGGAAAGATGAAGTCAGACCTGGAAAAGATAACCAAGCAGCTCAAGGTAATTGCTTTATTTTTCTATTTTGATAATAATGGTGTAGTGTTTTAGAAGGAAAGACTCTTTCCTGCCTTAAAGAAACAAATATAGAAATATTCACTGTGCTACTCCTCTTTGAAGAATTAGACCATTTCCTTCATTTTAGAGAATGAAACTATTTATTGATTATGTGCAATTGTATTGTATTTACAACTTTGATTTTTTTGTGTCATTTTGGGTTAGAATTTTTTTGTGTTTTATGCTTTTATTTATTCTTTGCAAATTTCATGCAATTATTTTGATCATATTCTTTCCCCTCTCATAACTCGTTTCAAATCATCTACCACCACCTTATTCTTTAAACTTCATGTTCTTTCTCTCTCTTAAAAAATGAAAATCACTTTAAAAAATTGGGAGTCTAACTTGTGTTAGCCAACTATTCCTGAACATGTGACCTGCCTTGGAGTGTGGCTGATGCACCTACCTAGTGGTACTCTGTTGAAGAAAACTGATTTTCCCTTTCTCAGCAGCTATCAATGGTGAATCAGTTTGCCAGGACTGGGAATTTGTGCCTACTTCCCCTCATCCATGCTAAGAATCTGGCATGTTTGAACTTCTACTCATCTTGCACATTCTGTTACAATCTTTCTGATTTCATGAGTTTGTCTATTCTGTTATTTTTGGAAAATGTTGTCTGGTGGAAGTCCTTTTCAACCTCTGGCTGTCTGCCTTCTCTTCCACATAGATCCCTGAGCCTTGAGGGATGCAGAGTCATACAAATGTCCCGTTTCAGATTGGTCCCTGTGTTAATTACCATACACTGCAAGAAACTTCTCTAAAGAGGGTTAAGCATTGTGGTGATCTAGGTGGGGTTGTATCCCTCTATTATGTGATCATTTCACTTAAACTTTCTATATATGTGTACAAATATTTATGTTTCAGGAAGCTTCTCCTATAGTAAGTTTTCATATGGGTGTTTTGAAAGGCTTTTCTGTTAGACATTTCTCTCCACTTTCCTAACTGATATTTACTCCCTTCTCCCACAACTTTAATCTCTATATTTTTTTAGTTTGTCCTATATGGTTAATCTTATAAATGTGCCTATGGCCATTCAATTTGTTGCAGATTATTTTCATTACTTACATATATGCTATGCAACTGGTAATTCCTCCTGAAGGAGAGGAGATGTGGCACTCTCAGTCCCTGTCTGGTCTTCCATACTCACCATCTTCAGGCCTATATCTTCTCCTCCTCCCTACTTGGGAATAGTGGCCTATTGAATTTTAAATTTTGATTTAATGAGTTTTCTTTGCATAGATATTCAGAATCACTATGTTCTGTTTTCTATGCCAGATGCTAAGGTTCTCATCACGGAACTAACTGCTTGAATTTTTATCTCTTCATTCTAATCCAATTTGGGGTCATTAGTCATCCTTAAAACTAGACTTTTGAATTATTTATCCTATATTTCTACTATTTCATTGTTTTTGGATTTCATTGTGAAGGAGTTAGGAACTAAAAAAACAGTATTTCTTTTAATCATCTGTATGTTTGTCTGCATGTATGTTTGTATACTTACATGTAATATCGTCAGAGGACAAATAGGACATTAGGTCCTCAGGAACTGTAGTTACAGACAGGTCCTCTAGAACTGTAGTTACAGGCAATTGTGAACCACTTGATATGAGTGTTGGAAATCAACTCTGGTCCTTTGTAAAGGCAGCATCTTGTTCTCTTAACTACTGAACCATCCCTTCAACCCCCAGGAATGTTTTAAGATAGTGTGGTGGAATAGTTAAGGTCATTCACAAAAAAGATGTTAGTCTTCATAAAAATTGGAGGGTTGAATCATTTGCTGCATGGAGCAGAGAAATATAGAGCTAGTAACTTAAGCAGAAGAAAACACTACAGAATGAGTATATACTTAAAAATCAATTACAAGAGTGACTCCTCCTTAGAGATTAGTGTGAACTTTTCAGAGAGCTTTATCAAGCCCATGTAATTTTTATATAATGTTGGTTTTTATATTCATTGGTTTTATTTTTAACAGAAAGTACAAAAATAAGTTTATGTGACAGAGGCTGTATATAGCTTTCAGAATATTTACTATTTACAAGTGTCTAGATCTTTACAGAACAAGATTACTAATCTCTATCCTGTTGATTCTGCTAGAAGTTAAAGACAAATGACTTGGAAGTAAAAGCTGACTCGCTGCTTAGGAGTGTTAAAGGAAGGGATACTTTATTTTAGAAGTATTGGTAGAGGTAGACAGTTGTACAAGTTGCATCAGAAATAGACCAAATCCAGAAGGAGTTGGATGACTTTGAATGTATTTTCTAAACTTTGCAATGAGAGTGAGAAACATGATCTTTGGGTCTGAAACTAAAGATAGGAAGTAAGGGAGTTGTAGGTGGACAAAGGGACATGGTTGTCTTTGGGATAGAAAAGATCCAAAAATTGCCAAAAATAACTATTTTAGGGTTACTGGAATCTTTAGCAATAATGTCATTGTGATGATGTATCAGTTGTCTGATCCTGATAATGATGACAGGCATGAGTAATATTACTAGAGTTCTTTTAAAATGGGAGTTTTCAACATGAATTGTAAGGCAGTTTGTAAAAATAAGTGAGTAGAGTCAAATATATTTAAGTTGAATTAGTTGTAAATGTATAAAGTTAATGGCCACAGTTAAGTGATCTTAAATTTTCCTTAGTAACTGAGGATAGAGTACTTCCTTTTTAGTAATTAACAAATAATGCCTAAAAAGGCTATAGAAAAAATGGGATATTTGCTATCACAAGCCCTGTTTATGCATATCCATGTTCTTTGGAAAAGAGACAAGTGAAACAATAGACTGTTTGAACTCAAAGCCCTAAAATAAAAGCAATTGAGCTTTGGACATGGATATGTGTGTGTGTGTGCACGCGCGCGTGTGCGTGCATGCATACATGTTTCATAGCTCTACTTACAAATAATTTGTACTTAAATTCAGTAATTATTGGTTTCGTTTGGTTTGGTTTGGTATGGATTTTTCAAGACAGGGTTTCTCTGTATTGTTTTGGAGCCTGTCCTGGAACTGGCTCTGTAGACCAGGCTGGCCTCGAACTCACTGAGAACCGCCTGCCTCTGCCTCCCAAGTGCTGCAATTCAAGGCGTGTGCCACCAACAACCAGCCCAGTAATATTTTGCTATGTAAAATTTGTGTATCTAATAACTAAATTACAAAGTCATTGATACTAATATCTCTCTTTGTGTGTGTTTCTGCCTCCATCCCTCCCCTCCCTCTTACTTTCTTTACTGTTCAACATAGACACAAATAACCTGGCAAGTAGTCTTCACACAAAATACGAAAGTTTTCTGAATTAGACTACCAGGCTGCATGTCACACGAGCATGAGTGTAACCTTTTCATGCTAATAAGAAGCTTTCTTATTTGGCACACATACATGACATAATGAGTTCTTTCTGTAAATATACATAATTTTCATTTTTCATTTCATACCTCAACAAAGTTGCGAAAAATCCCAAGGGCAGAGGACTCTCCAAACATTGGGAAGGTGAATCCAGACCAGGAAAAGATGTTAAAACAGCCCCCGGTAATTGCTGTACTTTTCTATATTGATCTGTTGATTTGCAAGATAATTCCTCAATATTAAATAATGGTTTGTGTTTCAAAAGGAAAGACTCCTCTGTTTTAAGAAAACAAATGCAGAAAGTAGCACAGTAATTAACTGCTGGAAATTTTCATTGTGCTAGTCCCATATTTCTGGTTGTTCTAAGAAAAGCCTCCTTGTGGAGAATTAGACTATTTCTTGATTATATGAAAATCTATTGTATGAGAAATTGAATTTTGTTGTATTTTTTGTTGAAAAAATTTTATTTTTCTTCATTTAATTCTTTTATTTAATCATTGTAAATTTCATGTAGTTAATTTTAATCATATTCTTCCCCTCTCCCACCTCCTCCAATATTGTCTTGTCCAGTTTCATGATCTTTCTATCTCTTAAAAAATAAAACACACATAAAAATGGAAGAGGGAACTGGGATTGAAATGTAAAATAAGATTTTTTTATTTTAAATAAAAATTTTAAAAAGTCCTCAAAATGTTAGTATTTGCACACACATACAAGTGTGTGTATTTCATATCTACCTACAAAGCATTTGTAATTATAATTAGTAGTGTTTGCTAGGTAAAAGTCATTTTTCATAATAACCTAAACTTGAAGGCATTGATGCTGATATATCTCTTTTAATTCTGAACACTTAGCACAAATAACCAGGAAGTTATCTTCACAGAAAATACTAAAATAATCTAAACTGAACGAGTAGGTAACTGGAAGCTGTGTATCATGTGAACATGATTGTAGCCTTTTCATGACAGCTTTGTAGGAAGAGAATCTATATTTTATGATAGGAAGCTTTATTATTTGGCATACATACAGGACACAATGAGTTGTAGATGCAAATGTATATTATTTTTATTTTTTCATTTCATACCTCAACAAAGCTGGGAAAAGACCCAAGGGCAGAGGACTCCCCAAACCTAGGGAAGGTGAATTCAGACCAGGGAAAGATGTTCAAACAGCCCCAGGTAATTGCTTTGCTTTTCTATATTGATTTGTTGATTTGCATGTAATTCCTCTGTTTTGAATAATGGTGTTGTGTTTCAGAAGGAAAGACTCTTCTGTTTCAAGCAAACAAATGCAGAAAGTAGCCCGGTGATAAACTGCTAGGAATTTTCACTGTGCTAATTCAAAGTTGCTGGTTGTTCTCATAGAAGCCTTTTTTTGTGGTAGTGAGGCATTAGGCTATTTCTTAATTATATGAAATTATAATGTATATTATACTTTAATTATGTTGCATCTTTGCTTAAAAGTTTTTTTCTTTAATGCTTTTATTTATTTTTTAATTTCATTCAACTTACTTTGATCATATTCTTTCCCCTTTCAAATTGTGCTCCATGTCCCTATCTGTCCAACTTCATTTTCTTTTTATCTTGAAAAAAATGAAAAACACACAGAATGGGAGTCTGGTTTGTGTTAACTATTTCTGACCATGTGGCCTGCCTGGGTATGTGGATACTTAATTGATTTCCCGTTTTCTAGCACTTATGAATTCTTGGCTAGGACTGGGAATTGTGATTACCTCTCAGAGCTCCCCCATACTGGGAGTTTTGAGGCTTGAGATTATATAAGATATGCGCACCCTGTCACAGTCTTTCTGAGTCCTTATATTCATCTGTTGTTTCTGAAAAATGTTATCTTGTAAAGTGGTTTTCTGCCACTGCCTAGAAATTTCTACCTGCTTTTCCGCATAGTTACCTGAGCTTTGAGGGAAAACATATGATACAGACATAGAATTTAAGATTGGACACCCCAAAGTCTCTGATTCTCTGAACATTTTTCAATTGTAGAACACTTTGCTAATTACTATCCAATTAAAGATGTTTGATAAATTAATCAATGAGTATAGCAATATGCTATCAGGATTGTTTTATTCCATTAGTAGAATCTTGTTAATAGGATTTCTCCTTCAAAATGTGACATCTTGTCACAGGTTCTTGGCCTCATTAAGTGTCAGGTACGAGTTAGATCTTATGGAGTGGACCTTAAATTCAATCAGAAAGTATGTTAGTTCTATAATTGTGCTATTATTGTGCCAGTAGGCGTGTTTTAGAGAAAGCTGGTTGTTGTAGCTCCAAGGGATAATAGAACTGTCTCTTGATGATTACTTTTCTTCTTCTTTTCTTTTTTCCTTTTTGATTTTTTTTGAGACAGGGTTTCTCTATGTAGCTTTGGAGCCTATCCTGGCACTCGCTTGTAAAATAGGCTGGCCTCAAAATCACAGAGATCCACCTGCCTCTGCCTCCCAAGTGTTTGGGCTAAAGGCCTGTGCCACCAATGACTGGCAATTACTTTTCTTCTGTGGTAGTATTTATAGCACTGCTTAGCAACATGAAATATAGTGAGTAGTACTGAGGCTTGCAGTTGAGCATCAGATACATTTCTCATTGAGGCATGACACACATGTGTAATGTTTTCATCAGATTAAAACTAACTTAAGATTCTTGGTGTCATGGTATATAGACTGTAACCAGTAAATCTTAAATCTGTAGTGGAAGGTAGTTGTTTAAAATGAAACAAGATGAAGCTGGTTGTAAATAGGTGAACAAGTTATAAGTGAGGAGGAAAGTTATAGTGGCAGTAAAATGATGTTATTTCTGCCTTGGTAGCTGAGTATAGACTGTCTCTTTTTGATGAAAAGTAAAAGTAGGATATCAGAGCTGCAGAAAATTTTGATACTTGTTTTCACAAGTTTATTGTATGCATATTATATCATCTTTGAGTATGGAAAAAGCAAAGCAGTAGACTGACTACTCTTCAAATTTATAAAGTAAAACATTCCACAAAAATGTAGTTGAGCTTTGAATATGTTTATAGTTTGTCTCTCCTTCAAAAGCATGTTTATTTAGAATTAATAGATTTTACTATGCAAACTTCATTATTAATAAGTTGTTAAGGTGTTGATACTGAACTATTTCATTGGTTTATATTTTATCTATTTATTTATTGATTGATTGATTGATGGGAACATAGTAAAATTAGCCTAGCAATCAGTCTTCATCCAAAATATTAAAATTGTCTAAATTGGGCTGCCAGGTAACTGAAAGCTGCATATCACATAAGCATGTTAGGAAGCTGTGTATCACCTGAGCCTTTTCAAGACAACACTGTATTAGAGTGTATATGTTACAATTAGAACCTTTATAATTTTTCAGACATAATAAATATAATATGTTCTGGCTTTAAATGTTTATACCTTTTGTTTTTAATTTCATAACACAACAAAGTTGATAAAAAAACCCACGAGTAAGAAAGTCACCAAACCTTGGAAAGAACAGGCCATACCTTTTTAAGATGAAGCAGCTTCCCAAAGTGATTGTGTTGCTTTAGTTATAGTGACTCTCAAGGTGATTCCTGTGTATTGAATAATAGTGTACTGTTTTCAGAAGGAAAGACTTTCATTTTAAGAAAACAAAATGTAAAAGTAACACAATAATAAATTGATAGACAATTTCACTCTGCTAATTCAAATTAGATATTCTAGTAAGTTCATCCTTAGAGAATTAGATGTTTTCTGATTATAAACTCTTTTAATTTAAAAAAGAAAATTCTTTTTTGAGATTATAATTTAATTTCAACCTTTTCATGTCCTTTTCCTCTCTCTAAACCCTGCCATATACCCTCCTGTTGTCCAAATTCATGCCATGCCATCTTTTCTTAGTAATTGTTACTGCATGCATGTGTATGTACATATATAATATATTTTAAAATATAACCTATCCAGTCTGTATGATGCTTATATGTACATTTCCAAGACTGGCCTTTTGGTACCAGACAATCAATTGTGCTGTTACTTTAGGAAGGCTACTTCTTTAATTTCCAGCTTTCTTCAGTTGCCTATAGTTCACTGTATAGGTTTGATGCATTGTGGGCTTTTCTCTTTCCAGCTTGGCATACAAATAGTGAACACAACAAATATCTATGAGTGTAGAGACAGATGTTTATAGATTTTTGTTAAGAGATTATGCTGGTTTAGCAAATTAGTGATTCTAGATTCTCTTCCAATGACTTTCACTTCAGTAGCACAAATATTTTAGCTGGGTTTCAAAAACAGACATAGTCTCCCTCTTGTTGAGTAGGTCTTAAGTTCAATTAAAGTGCTATTGGTTACTGCCAAGGTATGTGTGTCTCTAATGCATCCTTAGGGTTATCATGCCATGATGGTCATGTGACATATCAAGTGATCAAGATGGCAGCCTTTTCGTGACTATACTGTAGTAGAAACTTTTGGGGGGTATACAAACTAAATGGAACATAATGCCGTCTCACTTTAAATGTACATATTTTTATTTTCATTTCATACCTTAGTAACACTGAGAAAAAATTATCTACATTGATTTGCAATATGATTCCTGTGCTTTTAATAATGGTATAATGTTGTTAGTATAGGGTTGTGGACTCGTGGGCTTTTCTCTGTCCTATTTGCATATGTATGTCATTTGTTCAGTTCATGTATGAGCAGTTAGGTTGGTGAGACTTTATGGGTGTGGTTTCTGATATTACTAGGAGACATGGTCTTATAGAAAATTCTCTGATCCTCTGGCTTGTAGACTCTATCCATCACATCATGGGTAGTGTTCCTTCTGCCTTACTTTAGGTGCAGGAGTGTTCTTTAGATTTACACATTGGGACTAGACTCCACCAATCTACTTTTTGATTGGTTGTGGTTTTCTGTAGTGATTTCTGTCTGTTGCAAGGAAAAGTTTTCCTGACAAAGACAGAATATTTATAGATTATAGTTAGGAGTTAGGCTGGTTTACTGAAATAGTAGTTATAGATTGTTCCCTGTAATCATGACTTTACTAGCACCAATGCTTTAGCTAGGTTTCCAGTACCTCCCTATTATTGAGTGGCTCTTAAGCTCAAGTAAAGAGCTGTTAGTTAGTGTCAAGGCATGTGCGCTACTACTGCATCCTTAGGGTTATAATGCCATGATGGGCATTGTTACACACATCACATGAACATGATGGTAGCCTATTTGATAACAACACTGTATTAGAAAGTATGCATTAGTATTAGAATCTATTAGTTGACATATATATATTGAATGGAACATAGTGTGTGCCATCTTTAAATATACATTAATTTTGTTTTTTATTTCTTACCTCAACAAAACTGAGAAAAAAACAAAAGGGCAAATTATTCACCAAACTTTGGATAGATCAAACCACACCTTTTGAAGATGAAGCAGCAACTCCAAGTGATTGCTTTGCTTTGTTTTCCACACTGAGTCACAAGAAGGTTCCTGCATATTGAATAATGGTGTAATATTTTTAGACGATGCTATTGTTTCTCTGTTTAAAAAATACAAGCAATAGTACATTGGCTAATGGATAGCAATTTTCACTGTATTATGTCAAACTTGCTTGTTATTCTAATAAGTTCGTTCTTTTGGAAAATTAGAATGTTTTACACAAGAAAGTTCTGTTTTGACATCATAATTTAATTTAAACCTTTCTCACTTTCCTTCCTCCCTCAAAAACCTCACATAAAACCCCTTTACTGCTGGGCATTGGTGGCACACTCCTTTAATCCCAGCTCTCGGGAGGCAGAGGCAGGCAGATCTCTGTGAGTTCGAGGTCAGCCTGGTCTACAGAGTGAGTTCCAGGACAGCCTCCAAAACAATACAGAGAAACCCTGTCTCAAAAAAAAAAAACCTTTACTATCTGGAAAATCCATGGCCTCTTTTTCTCACTAATTATACTGCATGCATACGGGTGTGTGTATACGCACATGTTTGTGTGAACACACGCTATACACACACACACATGCATAAATAGTCCTAAATATAACATGTTAATTCTGTATAATAGTACCTGTATGGATGTTTTTAGGGCTGGCTTTTTAGCACAAGACAACCAATTGGTGTATTCATTCTTGGGGAAAACTAGATCTCCCGTTCCCCGCTTTCCTCAGTTTTCTATACTTCTTTGTAAATGTGTGAGTCCCAGTGGGCATTTCTCTTACCAGTTGCATATGTATTGGTGTCATTCTTGATAGTTCACATATGAGCAGTCATACTGGTGAGACTTTATAGGTATTGTTTCTGAGATTACTAAGTGACACAGTCTTACACCAAGTTCCCTTAAAATCTTTCTCCCCCCTCTTGCGCAGTCTTCCCTGAGCCTTACCTTAGGTTCAGGAGTGTTTTATAGATGGATCCATTGTGATTTAGCTCGATGTCTCTGTGGTTTGAATAGTTGTAGACTGCTGTACTGGTGTCTAGTCTGCCTTTTGCAGAAACAAGTTGCCTTGAGGAAGATTGCAGAATATTATTCCCTTAGGATATGAGGGCAAATGTTTATAATTTGTTCTTGGGATTATATTGCTTACAAAAATTAGTGGTGGTAGAGTCTTTCCCAGTAATTATCTCACCAGCAGAGATTTTAGCTGGATTTCCAATGTCAGTCATGCTCTCCCTCTTGTTGAATAAGTCTTAAATTAAGCAAAGAGCTGTTGATTACAAAGAAAGTATGCATGTCATTGCAGCATGCTTAGATTTATTATGACATAATGGCCATTGTTAGACATCACATGAGCATAATGGCAGCCTTCTTTAGAGCATATGCATTAGTATCTGAAACTTTCTTATTTGGAAAGTATAGTGCATTAAACATAATAGGTTCTAGATTTCATTGTGCATAATCTGATTTTCATTCCATACCTCAAAAAAAGGTGAGAAAAAACACAAGGAAAAAACAGTCGCCAAACCATAGATAGACCAAACTGGAATTTTTGAAGATGCAGAATCAGGCCCAAGTGATTGCTTTGTTTTGTTTTGTATATATTGATTCACACGATATTTACAGTATATTGAATAATGATACAATTTTTTAGGAGGCAACACTGTTTTTCACATTTAAGGAACAAGTATAAGTATAAAAATGATAAACACACAGAAATCTTCCCTGCGATAGTCAAATTGTCTCTTATAAAAGTAACTGCATCCTTTAGGAGAATTAGATTTCTTCTTCATTGCAAATTCTTTTCATGTTTTCATGGAAAATGATCTCATTTTTATGGGATTATCATTTAATTGACACCTTTCTCCATACCCTTTAATACCTCCATAACTTCCCATTTCAACTCTCTTCTCTATGCCAAAATTCATGGTCAACTTTTTGCACTAGTTGTTAGTGGTTACTGAAAATCCCTCATGGAGGCCCTTGGGGAGCAGAGGAGGGGTGAAGTGGTGGTGATGGGGGGATGGGGAAGGAGTGGAGTTGAGGGAACTGAAAGTGACATGCATTAAAAAGTTAAATAAACAATATATGGAAAAAAAGAATACACACACACACACATACACCTTACTATCACCTGTTCAGTGTCTATAATAGTACCTCTATTATGGTTTTGTGGCTTTTTGTTATCAGACAGTGAATTGGTGTATTCTTCCCCGGGTATTCCTACATCTCCTGTTTCCAGTTTCCTTCAGTTTTCTATAATCCTTTAAGTATGATTGAAGCCTGATGGGCTTTTGTCTATCTAATTTGTGTATGTATTGGTGCCATTCTTGTTCAGGTCATGCTTTGGCAGAGATATTTGTGACATTTTATGTGTGTTTTTCCTGGTATTACAAGGAGACACAGTTAAAGCAAATTATCTCACCCTCTGTCTCTTATGATCTTTCAGCCCCCTCTAGGGTAGTGTTTCCTGAACCTTGTTTTATGTGCAGTGGTGTTACATAGATGTATGCATTCTGATTGGGCTCCACTCCTCTCTCTCTTGATTGGATGTGAATTTCTGTAGTGGTCTCTGGCTGTTGCAAACAAAAGTTTCCTTGATGAAGAGTAAGGACTAGAGTTATCTTCAGGTATAAGAAGAATGTTGATAATATCATCTGAACAAGAAGGAAATGTAGGCAAGTGACTTCTAAAACATGTGAGAAATGAGAGAAAAAGCTGACTGCATGGACAGTCATCAAGGTTTTTCTGTAATGTTGGGGCATCCACCTTTTATCTAAATGCCTAGCATACCTATGAAACAGGGAATTTTGAAGGACTTGCCTGCCTTGTCTTGGCAAAGCTTGGCAGTCACTTTCTTGTGTCCTGGTTGAGTTTAGATAGTAACTGTCAGAAATTGAGGTAAGGGCAGTTTCTTTGCCCACATGTCTAGCTTTTGCCATATGAAAAATATACTACATATGGAGTTTTGATGCACATCATCTTTTCTGGAGTATATGGGTGCTATCAGGAGCAGAAGTGTCTCACTGTCGTGAAAAGTCTAAGCTATTAAAACATTTTAAATTCTGTAGATCTTTGAAATGTTTGAAGTATACATATCTAGCTGATATATATACATATATATATTTATTTATATCTAGAAATCATAGCTGACTATAAGTTTATGGTAGAAGGCTAATTTTAGGAATCTATATTAATTATTGAAGACTAGATAATTATAGCCATAGTTTTTCTTAGTTATGGCTTTTTAGAACCAGACATGAATTGGTGTATTCTTCACTGGGTATTCCCTCCTCTCTTGTAGCAATTTCCTTAAGTTTACTATGGTCCTTTAACAAGGAATGAAGCCCTGAAGGGCTTTTCACTGTCTTGTCTGTGTAACTATTGGTGCCATTCATGTTCAGATCATGTTTGGGCAGTGATAGTCATGAGATTTTCTAGATGTTTCTCCTGATGTTCCTAGAAGAGAAGACAGGATCTTAGAGCAAATACCTCACCCTCTTACTGTGAAGATTTTAGCCTCCTCTTTGGTAGTATTCCCTAAGCATTATTTATATGAAGAATTATTTTGTAGGTGTTTGCATTCTGATTGGTATCCACCATTCTCTGTTCTTATTGGCTGTCAATTTCTCCAATCATCTCTGAATATTGCAACAAAAGTTGCCTTGATAAAGAGTAGAGGCTGAAGTTACCTTCAGATTTAAGAACAAAGGTTGTAGATTGTTGTTAGGGATTATGCTGTGTTAGTAAGTTAGTGTTTCTAGATTCTTCTCCAGCAATCATCATTTCACCAGCACAGAGGTTTTAGCTGGTTTTCAGTACCAGGCATGCTCTCCCTGGTATTGAGCAAGTCCATGTAAAGAGTTCTTGTAACAAAGGTGGTATGTGTTACACTGATGCATATTTAGAGTTATCATGCTATGAGGGGCATTTTTTCACATCACTAGAGCATGATAGTAACCTTCTTCATGACTCGACTGTAGTGGAGCCATATGCATTTGTATTGGAGGCTTTATTATTTGGGGGAAACATGGAGGATTAAACATAATGTGTTCTAGCTTTAAATGCCCATAATTGTTGTTTTTCATTCCATACCTCAATAAAGCTGAGAAAAAACGCAAGGGCAAAACAGTCACTAAACTATGGAAAGATCAAGCTGGACTTTTTGAAGATGAAGAAGCAGGTCCAGGTGATTGCTTTCTTTTGTTTTCGTTGTATATTGATTCACAAGATATTTACAGTGTATTGATTAATGGTATAATGTTCTTAGAAAACAGCACTGTTTTTCATTATTAAGCCAACAAGAGTAAGTACCAAAATGATAAATTTATAGAAATTTTCACTGTGATAAGTCAAATTTGTCTCTTTTTTGTAATGTGTTCATTCTTTTGGAGAATTAGATTGATTCTTGATTGCAGGATCTTTCATGATTTCAAGAATGATCTCATTTTTAAAAGATGATCATTTAAATTCAGCCTTTCTCAATACCTTTTCTTCCCTCTAAAAACTCCCATTTCAACCCCCTTCTCTAAATGCCAAAATTCATCACCACTTTTCCCACTATTTTTTAGTGATTGTATTTAAGAATACCTATAACCTCCCACACAAACACACACACATATTCCTTAATATAACCGGTTCAGTCCTTTTAATACTACCTTTATATGTTTCTGTGGCTGGCTTTTTGATACAAAGCTTGAAGTTGTATATTCTTAAGTGGGTATTCCCTCCTCTCCTTTCCCCAGTTTCCTTCTATTTTCTATGGTTCTTTGAGTAGGGATGAACACCTGATGGATTTTTCTCTGTCCTGTTTGTGTATGTATTCATGCCGTTCTTGTTCAGGTCATGTTTGGGCAATGATTGCCATGAGATTTTATAGGTGTTTCACCTGATGTTCCTATAAGAGAAGACAGCCTTAGAGCAAATTCCTCACCATCTGGCTATGACAATCTCTCTAACCCCTCTTTGGTAGTGTTCCCTGAGACTTATTTATATGCAGGAGTGTTGTGTAGCTCTATGCATTCTGATTAGTCACCACCACTCTGTGTTGTTGATTGCTGCAATGGTGTCTGGCTATTACAACAAAAGTTGCCTTGATGAAGAATAAAAGCTATAGTTATCTTCAGATATGAAACAAAGTTTTTAGATTGTTCTTAGGGATTATGCTGCTTTAGTAAGTTAGTGTTTCTGGATTCTTCTCCAGTAGCCATCATTTCACCAGCACCGAGTTTTTAGCAGGTTTTCAGTGCCAGGCATGCTCTCCCTCTTGTTGAGTGAGTCTTACTTCCAAGTAAAGAATTTTTAGTTACAGAGAAGGTATGTGATACACTGCTGCATACTTAGAGTTATCATGCTATGATAGACAATGCTACATATCACTAGAGCATGATGGTAGCCTTCTTCATGACAAGGCTACACTAGATCATATGCATTAGTATTGGAGACTTTATTATTTGGGGGAAACACAGGGTACTAAACATAATGTGTTCTAGCTTTAAATGTTCATAATCTTTGTTTTTTATTCCATACCTCAATAAAGCTGAGAAGAAACGCAGGGGCAAAACAGTCACTAAAACATGGAAAGACCAAGCTGGACTTTCTGAAGATGAAGAAGCAGGTCCAGGTGAGTGATTGCTTTTGTGTATATCGATTTTCATATTGTTTCGAATATATTGAATAGTGGTGGCATGTTTTGAGGAGACAACACTGTTTTTCATATTTTAGGAAACATGTAAGTTCCACAATGATAAATTCATAGAAATTTTCACTGTGATCAGTCAAATTTGTCTGTTTTTATAATGAGTTCCTCCTTTTGGAGAACTAGATTGCTTCTTGATTGAAGATTCTTTTAATGATTTCAAGGAGAGTCATCTCATTTTTAATAGATGATTTTTTAATTTCAACTTTTCTCCATACCTTTTCTTTGTATTGTGTGGGCATGTGTGTATATGGAAGTCAGAGGACAACTTCTGGAAATTGATTCTCCTCTTCTAGTATGTGGTTTCCAGAAACTGAAATCCATTTGTCAGTGAGGCAGCAGGAAATGCCTTTACCTGATGAGTCATCTCACCATCTTTCCTTCTGTTTCATACATTGGATGTTGCCCAGTCCATAAATAACAAATAATTAAGTGACAATGAAGTAATAAAAGTAAATTATAACTTCTCTACTCTGTACAATTAGAAATTGTTCTCTCAAAACCCAGTTTCTTTCTTTATTAAGTTTTTTAATTTTTTATTTTAATTTTAAATAGCTTGCTTCACATGTCAATCCCAGTTCCCTCTCCCTCCCCTCCTCCCGCACGCCCCCCAACATCGCCCCCAGCCTCCCACCCTATTGCCACTTCCTTCTACATAGGGGATATCTGGAGTCTGTCATTTCACTCAGGGCAGGGTCCAGGCACTCCTCTAAGAGTCCAGGCTGAGAGAGCATCCCTCTTTGTGTTATGGACACACGGTATCTGTTTGTATGCCAGGGATAAACACTGATCCACTGCCCAGGGCTCCATAGGTTGCCCAGGCCTTCTCACTGACACTCACATTCAGGGGGGGTCCAGATCAGTCCCATGCTGGCCTCCCCACTGTTGGTCTGGGGTCCAAGAGCTCTCCCCTGTTCAGATCAGCTGTCTCTGCTGGTTTTGCCAGCCCATTCTTTGCCAATTTGCTCATCACTCCTCTCTCTCTGTCACTGGGTTCCTTGGGTTCAGTTCAGTGTTTAACTGTGGGTGTTTGCCTCTGCTTCCATCAGTCACTGGATGAAGGCTCCAGGATGGTTATACACATCAAGTTCATTATCAGGAATGGGCATTCGAGGTGGTCTCACCCCTATTGCTTAGCTTAGATGATTATTTATTTTCAACCTTTCTCCGTACATTTTATTCCTCTAAAACCTCCCTTTTCAACCTCCCTCTCTATACCTAAAATTCCTGGCTTTTTTCACACTAATTATTAATGATTGTATTTAAGAATGTCTTTACATTCTCTCCCTTTTTCTCTTTAATTTAATCTATTTAGTTTGTTTAATAATATCTGTATATGTATATATGTGTACATGTATATATTCCTGACTGAATTTGGCACCAGACATGAATTTATATATACTTTCGTTGGTATTCCCTCCTCTCCTACTCCCACTTTCCTTCGGTTTTCTCTAGTTCTTTGTGTAGGGTTGCAGCCTAATGGGATTTCACTGTCTTCCTGGTGTATCTATTCCTGCAGTTCTTATCCAGGTTATTTTTGGGCAATGATGGTCATGAGAATTTATAGGTGTTTCTTCTGATGTTCCTAGAAGGGATGACACAGTCTTAGCGCAAATTCCTGTCTCTAGATGTTGCATCAGAAATTGCCTTGATGGAGAGTAAAGGTTGCAGTTATCTTCAGATATAAGAAGAAAGGTTGTAGATTGTTGTTAGGGATTATGCTGCGTTAGTAAGTTAGTGTTTCTAGGTTCTTCTCCAGTAGTCATCATTTCACCAGCACAGAGGTTTTAGCTGGTTTTCAGTACCAGGCATGCTCTCCCTGGTATTGAGTGAGTCCTAAGTCCAAATAAAGAGTTCTGGTAACAAAGATGGTATGTGTTACACTGCTGCATACTTAAGTGTTATCATGCTATGAGCGACATTGTTTCACATCACTAGAGCATGATGGTAGCCTTGTTCACAATATGACTGTAGTAGAGCATATGCATTTGTATTGGAGGCTTTATTATTTGGGGGAAACATGGAGGATTAAACATAATGTGTTCTAGCTTTAAATGCCCATAATTGTTGTTTTTCATTCCATACCTCAATAAAGCTGAGAAAAAACGCAAGGGCAAAACAGTCACCAAAACATGGAAAGACCAAGCTGGACTTTTTGAAGAAGCAGGTTCAGGTGATTATTTGTTTTGTTTGTTCTTGTGTATATTGATTCACATGACTTTACAGTATATTGATTAATGGTGTAATGTTTTGAAAAGCTAACACTGTTTTTTTTCACTTTAAGGAACCATGTGTAAGTTCCAAAATGAAAAATTCATAGAAATTTTCACTGTAATAAGTCAAATTTATCTGTTTTTATAATGAGTTCTTCCTTTTGGAGAATTAGACTGCTTCTTCATTCCAGATTCTTTTCATGGTTTCAAGGAGAATGTTCTTATTTTTAATAGATGATTTTTTAATTTTAACCTTTCTCCATACCTTTTCTTCCCTCTAAAAACCTCCCATTTCAACCCCCTTCTCTATGCCAAAGTTCATGGTCTTTTTTGATACTAATGATTAGCAATTGCTTTTCAGAATGTTTATTCTCTCTCTCTTCCCTCCCTCCCCACCCTCCTTAATAAAACCTATTCAGTCTCCTTAATTGTGTGTGTGTGTGTGTGTGTGTGTGTGTGTGTGTGTGTGTGTGTGTGTGTGTGTGTGTGTGTGTGTTTTCCTTACTGATTCTTTGTCCCCAGACAGAAATTGGTATATTTTCCCCTGGATATTCCCTCCTGTCCTCTCCCATTTTCCTTCAGTTTTCTGTCAGCCTTTGAATAGGAGCGAATCCTGAGGGGCTTTCTCAGTCCTGTTTGTGTACGTATTCGTGTCATTCCTGTTGAGGTCATGTTTCGGCAATGACTGTCATGAGATTTTATAGGTGTCTTTCCTGATGTTCCTAGAAGACACAATCTTAGAGCAAATTCCTCACACTCTGGCTCTGATAATCTTGGGTTGTGTTCCCTGAACTTTATATTCAGGAGTGTTCAGTATATGTCTGTAGGTGTATGCATTCTGATTGTGGCTACCACTCTTTTCTGATTGGTTGTGTATTTCATCAGTCATCTATGGTTGTCGCAACAAAATTTGCCTTCCTGAAGAGGAAAGGTCACAGTTATCTTAAGATATAAGAACAAAGTTTGTAGATTGTTTTTAGGGAGTATGCCGTGTTAATAAGTTAGTGATTGTAGATTCTTCTCCAGTAATCATTTCATCAGCACAGAGTTTTTTCTTTTCCTTTTTTTTTTAATTTAGTTTAAATTAGAAACAAGTTTGCTTCACCTGTCAATCCCAGCTCCCCCTCCCTCCCTTCCTCTCCCGTCCCCCTTCAATCTTCCTGCAACCCCTCCCCCAAACCCCACTTCACTCTCCAAAGAGTGTGAGGAGCTTCATGGGGAATCTCAAAGTCTGCAAGTGTCCAGGTGGAGAAAGCATCCCTCCACGTGGAATGGGCTCCCAAAGTCCATCTGTATGACAGGGCTGAATGCTGACCTATTGCCCGAGGTCACAGAGAATGCTAAGGACTCCTCACTGATACCCACTTTCAGGGGGTCTGCATCAGTCCCATGCTTGCCTCTCAGCTATCAATCTGGGGTCTATAAGCTCCCCCTTGTTCAGGTCACCTGTTTCTGTGGGTTTCATCTGTCATGTCTCAAGCCCTTTGCTCATCACTCCTCCCTCTCTGCAACTGGGTTCCAGGAGTCCAGTTCAGTCTTTAGCTATGGGTGTCTTCCTCTGCTTCCTTCAGCCACTGGATGAAGGCTCTAGGATGGCATACAAGGAAGTCCTCAATCACATTATCAGAGAAGGGCATTTAAGACAGCCTCTCCACTATTGGTTAGGTTGCCAGTTGGTGTCATCCTTGTGGACCTCTGGAAGTCTCACTAGTGCCCGATATCTCTTCAAACTTATAATGGCTCCTTCAATTATGATATCTCTCATCCTTCTCTTCGCTATTCTTCTCCCGACTCAACTTTTCTGCTCCCCCATGTCCTCCTCTCCCCTCTTCTTCATCCCCTTTCTTTCTCCCAGCTTCCTGCCCCTACCCCTTGCTTCCAGTCCTCTCATAAGATTCTGTCCTGTTTCCCTTCTCTGGTTTACCATGCATATCTCTCTTAGGGTCCATCCTGTTTCCCAGACTCTCTGGCAGTGGGATTGTAGGGTGGCACTCCCCTGTTTCGTGCCTAAAATCCATATAGGAGTGAGTACATACCATGTTTGTCTTTTTGTGACTGGATTACCTCACTCAGGATGGTTTCTTGTAGTGCCATCCATTTGCCGGGAAATTTCAAGATTCCATTGTCTTTTTTTCCACCTAAGTAGTACTCCATTGTGTAAATGTACCACATTTTCTCTATCCACTCTTCAGTTCAGGGGCATCTAGGTTGCTTTCAGGTTTAGCTATTACAGATAATGCTGCTATGTACATAGTTAAACAGATGTCATTGTTGTTTGAATGTTCATCTTTTGGAAATATGCTTAAGAATGGAATTGCTGGATCTTGTGGTAGATTGATTCCATTTTTCTGAGGAATCTCCATACTGATTTCCAAAATGGCTGTACAAAGTGGCTTCCACCAGCAGTGGAGGAGTGTTGCTCTCTCTGCCCATCCTCTCCAGTATAAATTGTCATTGGTGTTTTTGATGTTAGCCATTCTGACAGGAGTAAGACGGTATCTCAATGTTGTTTTGATTTGCATTTCCCTGGTAGCTAAGGATGTTGAGCACTTTCTCAAGTATCTCTAAGCCATTTTAAACTCCTCTATGGAGAATTCTCTATTTAGTTCTGTAGCCCACTTTTGAATTGAATCCTTTGGTGTTTCAGAGGCTTGCTTCTTGGTTTCTTTGTAAATTTTGGAGATCAGTCCCCTGTCAGATGTGGGGTTAATGAATATCTGTTCCCATTCTGTGGGCTGCCTTTTTGTCTTGTTGCCTGTGTCCTTTGCCTTAAAGACGATTCTCAGTTACAGGAGGTCCCATTTATTGTTGATCTCTGTGTCTGTACTACTGGTGTTATGTTCAGGATGCAGTGTTCTGTACCAATTCGTTCAAGAGTGCCTCCCACTTTCTCTTCTAAGAGGTTCAGTGTGGCTGGATTTATGTTGAGGTCTTTGATCCATTTTGACTTAAGTTTTGTGCAAGGTGATAGGCATGGATCTATCTGCAGTCTTCTGCATGCCAATATCCAGTTATGCTAGCACCATTTTTTGAAGATTCTTTTTCCAATGTATAATTTTAGCTTCTTTGTCAAAAATCAAGTGTTCGTAGGTGTGTGGGTTATTATCAGGGGGTTCAATTCAGTTCCATTGGTCTACCTGTCTATTTTTGCAGCAGGTTTTCTGTGCCAGGCATGCTGTCACTGTTGTTGAGTGAGTCTTAAGTCCAAGTAAAGTATTGGTGGTTTCAAAGGTGATATGTGTTACACTGCTGTATACATAGAATTATCATGCTATAAGGGACATAGTTACACATCACTAGAGCATGATGGTAGCCTTCTTTATATCAAGGCTATATTGGAACATATATGTTAGTATTCCATGCTTTATTATTTTGGTGTAACTTGGGAGATTAAACAAAATTTGTTCTGGCATTTCATGTCCACAATCTTTGTTTTTCATTTCATACCTCAATAAAGCTGAGAAAAAACGCAAGGGCAAAACAGTCACCAAAACATGGAAAGACCAAGCTGGACTTTTTGAAGATGCAGAAGCAGGCCCAGGTGACTTTGTTTTGTTTTTTTGTCTATATTGATTCACATGATTTTTACAGTATACTAAATAGCGGTGTAATATTTTTAGAAGACAGCACTCTTAACTTTTAAGGAAACAAGTGTAAGTACCACCATACTAAATTCATAGAAAATTTCACTGATAAGTCAAATATTTGTCTCATAATATGTTCATCCATTTAGAGAATTTGATTGCTTCTTGATTGCAAATTCTTTTCATGTTTTCAAGGAGATATTTTGCTTATATGTGAGATTATCATTTAATTTCCACGTTTCTTCATACCCTTCTATCCATCCAAAACCTCCCATTTCAACCCTGGCCTTCATGCCAAAATTTCTGTTCACTCTTTTCACTAATTTTATTGATTGTATTTAAGCATATCTACATACATACACACGCACACACATATTCCTTACTATAACCTGTCCAGTCTATATAATACTACCTTCATTTATCTTCTCATGGCTGGCTTAGGCACCAGACATGAATTAGTGTTTTATTCAATGAGTATTTCCACCCCCCTGTTCCCATTTTCCTTCAGTTTTCTCTGGTCTTTTGAGTAGGGATAAAGCCTGAAGAGCTTTTCTCTGTCCACATTGTGTAACTATTGGTGCCATTCTTTTTCAGGTCAGGGAAGTGATGTTTGTGATAATTTATGTGTGTTTCTCCTAATATTACTAGGAGACAAGGACTTAAAGCAAATTATCCCAGCCGCTGGCTCTAATGATCTTCCAGCCTTCTCTTGTGTAGTGTTTTCTGAGGTTCTCTGAGCCTTTTCTTATATACAGGAATGTTCTGTAGGTATCTGTAGATGTAATCATTCTGATTGGTGTCCAGCAATCTCTTTTGAATGGATGTGGATTTCTGAAAGGGTCTCAGACTGTTACAAACAAAAATTGCTTTGATGAAGAGTAAAGTCTACAGTTATCTTCAGGTATAAGAGGAATGATTATAGATTGTTGTTAGGGATTATGCTGTGTTAGTAAATTAGTCGTTGTAGATTCTTCTCCAGTAGTCATCATTTCACCAGCACATAGTTTTTAGCTGGTTTTCAGTACCAGGCATGCTCTCCCTGGTATTGAGTGAGTCCTATGTCCAAGTAAAGAGTTCTGATAACAAAGGTGATATGTATTCACTCTGCATACTTAGTGTTATCATGCTATGAGGGGCATTGTGTCACTTCATGTGAGCATAATGATAACCTTTATGACAAGAGTATATTAGAGCATATACATTAGTAATGGAAGCTTTATTATTTAAGAGAAATCACTTGGATTCGACATAATGTTTTGTAGCTTTAAAGGTCCATAATCTTTGTTTTTCATTACATGCCTCAATATAGCTGAGAAGAAACGCAAGGGGAAAACAGTCACCAAACAATGGAAAGGCCAAGTTGGACTTTTTGAAGATGCAGAAGCAGGCCCAGGTGATTGTTTTGTTTTGTTCATTTGTATATTGTTTCACATGGTGTTTTTAGTGTATTCATTAATGATGTATTATTTCTAGAATGCAACACTGTTTTTCACTTAAGGAAACAAGTATTAGTACTGCTGTGGTAAATTCATAGATGTTTTCACTGATAAGTCAAATTTGTCTCTCCTTATAGTATGTTCATTCTTTTTGGAGAATTAGATTGCTTCTTGATTGCAGGTTCTTTTCATGTTTTCAAGGAGATTGGTATCCTTATATGTGAGATTGTCATAATTTCAACCTTTCTGCATACTCTTTTATCTGTCCAAAACCTCCCCTTTAAACCCCCCTTCTCTAGGCCAAAATTCATGACCACTTTTGATCACTTTTCCCAGTAATTGTTAGTGATTGTATTTAAGAATACACAAACACACATACACACATTCCTTACTATAACTTATTCAGTCTGTATAGTGTGTGTGTGTGTGTGTGTGTACTATTTTTTTTCTCATGGTTCGATTTTTTTGGCAACAGAGAGTTATTTGGTGTTTTCTTCCCTTGGAATTCTCATGTATCCTATTTTCAGTCACCTTCAGTTTTATATCATCCTTTATATATGGTTGAAACCTCGTGGGCTTTTCTCTGTCCAGTTTTTGCAAGTATTTGTTCCATTTTGGTTCAAGTCATGTTTGGGCAATGATGCTTGTTAGATTATATGTGTGTTTACTAAGGGACTCAGTCTTAGTACAAATTATTCACACTCTGGATCTGATGCTCTTTCAGCCCAAATTCAGTTGTTCCCAGAATCCTATCTCTCTTTTTTTCCTTTAGGACAGGATTACTCAGTTACTCAGGGTTACTCACAGGTAACCACCTACCTCTGCCTACTGAGTGATGAGATTAAAGGCATTCATCACCACCAGCAGCCTCCAGAACCTTATCTTATATTCAAGAGTGTCCTGTAGATTGGGATGATTGGTCTCCACCACTCTCTGTACTGATTGGATGTAGATTACTGCAGTGATCTCTGGCTGTTGCAAATAAAAGTTGCCTTGATGAAGAGTGAAGGCTATGTTTATTTTCAGATGTAAGAAAAAGTTTGTAGATTGTTGTTAGGGATTATGCTGTGTTAGTAAATTAGTGGTTGTAAAAACTTATCCAGTATTCTTCATTTCATGATCAAAGAGTTATTATCTGGTTTTCCAGTGCCAGGCAAATTCTTCCTCTTGTTGAGCAAGTATTGATTTCAAGTAAATAAGTGTTGGTTATAAAGAAGGTGTATTTTCCATTGTCGCATAGTTATCATGTCACAATGGTCATTACTCCGCATCACCAGAGCATGATGGTAGCCTTCTTTATGACAAGGCTATTTTAGAGCATATGTGTTAGTATTTTGGAGAGCATAGGGAATTAAATAATATGCTCTAGCTTTAAATGTCCATAATTTTTTCTCATTTCATACCTCAATAAAGCTGATTAAAAACACAAGGGAAAAATAGTCACTAAGCCATGGAAAGAGCAAGCTGGTTTTCTTGAAGATGAAAAAGCAGGCCCAGGTGATGGCTTTTTTGTGTGTATATTGATTCACATGATATTTACAGTATATTGAATAATGGTGTAATACTTTTAGAAGACCCTACTGTTTTAACTTTTAAGGAAACAAGTGTAAGTTCCACAATGCTAGATTTATAGAAATTTTCACTGCAATAAGTCAAATTTTCCCTTATTATAATGAGTCTATACTTTGGGGGAATTACATTGCTTCTGGATTGCAATTTCTTTATGTTTTCATGGTGAATGATCCCATTTCTTAATAGATTATCATTTAATTTCAACCATTCTCAATAAACTTTCATCCCTCCATAATCTCCAATTGTGTATGTCAATATCTGTGGCCTCTTTTTAAACTAATTGTTATTGATTGTCTTGAGAATATCTACACACACACACACACACACACACCTGAATGTTCTGTACAGTCTTTAGTGGTACCTTTATGCATATGTTTTTCTGACTGACCTTTTGGCACCAGACATGAATTGGTGTATACTTCCCTAGGTATTCCCTCCTCTCCTGTTCCCATTTCTTTTAATTTTCTATGGTCCTTTGAGTAGGGATGAAGCCTCATGGGTCTTCTCTGTCCTGTTTGTGTATATATTATTACCATTCTTGGTCTTGTCATGTTTGGGCAGTAATGGTCATGACATTTTATAGGTGTCTCTCCTGATGTTCATAGAAGAGGAGATACAGTGTTAGAGCAAATTCCACATCCTCTGCCTGTGATATTTAACCTCCTCCTTGGTAGTTTTCCCTGAGCCTTATCTTTTATGCAGGAGTATTCTGTAGATGTATGCATTCTGATTGGTCTCCAGCATTCTCTGTTCTGATTGATTGTCGATTTCTGCAATCATCTCTGGATGTTGCAACAAAAGTTGCCTTGATGAAGAGTAAAGGTTGCAGTTATCTTCAGATTTAAGAACAAAGGTTGTAGATTGTTGTTAGGGATTATGCTGTGTTAGTATATTAGTGGTTGTAGATTCTTCTCCAGTAGTCATCATTTCACCAGCACAGAGTTTTTAGCTGGTTTTTAGTACCAGGCATGCTCTCCCTGGTATTGAGTGAGTCCTATGTCCAAGTAAAGAGTTCTGGTAACAAAGGCGGTATGTGTTACACTGCTGCATACTTAGAGTTATCATGCCATGAGGGACATTGTTACATATCACTAGAGCATGATGGTAGCCTTTTTCACGACATGACTGTAGTAAAGCATATGCATTTGTATTGGAGGCTTTAATTATTTGGGGGAAACATGGAGGATTAAACATAATGTGTTCTAGCTTTAAATGTCCATAATCTTTGTTTTTCATTCCATACCTCAATAAAGCTGAGAAAAAACGCAAGGGCAAAACAGTCACTAAACTATGGAAAGATAAAGCCAAACTTTTTGAAGATGAAGCAAGCCCAGGTGATTGCTTTTGGTGTTTGTGTGTATGTATGTGTGTTATATTATAAATACAAATAATTTATAAATATTAAGTTTATATGAATACACATAAATTAAGTGTATTGCAAACACCTGTGTGTATATATATATTCCTACTATACATATACATATGTGTGTGTATATATATATATATATGTTGTTTGTCATGTAATATATTGATTCACAATGTTTTTGCCATATATTGAATTATGGTGTGATGTTTTCATAAAGAAAATTTTTTATGTTTTATAAATATAACAAGTATCTCAGTGATAAATTCATAGAAATTTTCATTGTGATTGTTCAGAGTTGTTATGTAAGTTCATCCTTTTCGACATTTAGATTGTTCATTGATGCTAGCTTTTTTCATGTTTTTAACCTGAAAATTCTGTTTTAGTTTGAGATAATTAATTTCAACGTTTCTCCCTACCTTTTCCTCCCTCCAAATTTTCTATGTACCTCCCCTATCTGCCACATGTATGATCCCTTTACTCACTAATTGTTAGTACTTACATTCAAGAATATATATATGTATATATATGTGTATATATATATATTCTGAATATAGCTTGTTCAGTTTCTATAATAATACCTGTATGTAAGTTTTCATGCCTGTCTTTTTAACCCCAGACAGAGAACTGGTGTGGTCTGATGTGGGGATTTCCACCTCTCCCTTTCCCACCTTTCTTCTGTTTTCTATATTTCTTTCTTGTAGGATTTAGGCCTCCTGGGATTCTTTCTTTCCATTTTGTATATGTATTAGAGTCTCTTGTTCAGCTCTCTCGTTTGAGCAGTGATGTTAGCAATTTCTTCTGATATTACTATTTATTTTGATATTACTAGGAGACAGTCTTAGATCAAAGTTTCTTATCCTCTGTCTGTTAAGATCTTACTACACTCTTTTGGGCAGTGTTCACTGCGCCTTATCATGTGTGTAGAAATGCTTTGTAGATTTATCCATTCAGATTGGGCTCTACCACTCCTTGCTTTCATTGGTCCTGGGTTTTTGTAATGGTCTTTATCTGTTGCAAACAAAAATTCCCTTGATAACGAGTAACGAATATAGTTATCTTCAGGTATAAGTACAATGCTTACAAATTGTTGTTAGTGATTTTAATTAGTATATTAGTTGTTGTAGATCCTTTTCCGATAACCATCATTTCACCAACACAGAATTTTTATTGGTTTTCCAGTGCCAGCCATGCTCTCCCTCTTTTTGATTGAGTCTTACTTCCAATTAAAGATCTGTTTTTTACAAAGAAGGTATGCTACTGCTGCATACTTAGAGTTATCATTCCATGAATGGCATTGTTACACATCACAACAGTATGATGGTAGCTTTCTTTGTGACAAGGCTATATTAGAGCATTCGCATTAGTATTGAATGTTTTATTATTTAGAAAACATAGAGGATTAAACATAATGTGTTCTTGCTTTAAATATTATTTGTTTTTCATTTCATACGACAATAAAGCTGGGAAAAAACGCAAGGGTAAAACAGCCACCAAACAATGGAAAGACCTATCCAGGTTTTTTGAAGACGAAGAAGCAGGCCCAGGTGATTCCTTTATTTTGTTTTGGTTTTTGATGGTGTTTTATTTCAATCTATACTTTTTCTCATGTTTGCCATATATTGAATAATGGTGTAATGTGTTTAGAAGAAAAGAAATAGCATAATGAAAGTTTGATAGAAATTTTCAGTGTGGTAAGTCAAATGTGTTTCCTATTGTAATAAATTTATCCTTTTGGAGAATTAGATTTTTCCTGATTATAGTTTTTTATGTTAGAAGTCTATTTTTGAGATAATAATTAAATTCAACCTTTCTCCTTACCCTTTCCTTCCCCTAAACCTCCAATCTATGCCTTCTTCTCTTGTCCAAATGTGTGGCCTCTTTTCTCAGTAATTGTTAATACTTGCATTCAAGAGTATCTATGTGCACATATAGCCCTGAATATAACTTGTTCTGTCTCTGTAATAGTAACTGTATGTATGTTTTCATTGCTGTTTTTTCACAGCAGATAGTTAATTGATATACTTTTACCTGGGGATTCCCATTTCTCCTTTTCCCGGTTTCTTTAGTTTTCTATAGTTCTTTTGTTTAGGGTTTAGGCCTTGTAGGATTTTCTTTCTCCAGTTTTTATATGTCATTCTTATTCAGCTCATGTTTGGGCAGTGATGATCATAAGATGTGTTTTTCTCCTGATATTACTAGGAGACACAGTCTTAGAGCAAATTCCCTCACCCTCTGGCTCTTTATAATCTTTCTACCTCCTCTTGGGCAGTGTTCCTGGGCCTTATCTTATGTGTGGGAGTGGTCCGTAGATGTGTCCATTCTGACGTGGCTCCAAAACTCTTTGATTTGATTGGTTTCTTTTTTTTTTTTTTTGTAATGGTCCATGTTTGTGGCAAACCAATGTTTTCTTGATGAAGATTGAAGACTACTATTATCTGTGGTTATAAAGACAAATGTTTATAGTTAGTTGTTGGGGCCTATAATGATTTAGTTAAATTTTTGTTGCAGATTGTCCTCCAATAACCATTACTTCTCTAGCTCAGAATTTTTAGCTGGGTTTTCAGTACCAGCCATGGTTTCCATTGTGTTGAATGGATCTGGAATCCAAGTAAAGGTTATTTAGTTACTGCCAAGGTATGCATGCTGCTACTGTATTTTAGCGTTATTATGCCATGTTGTGTATTGTTAAAAGTCATGTGAGTATGGTGGTAACCTTTTCATGACTATTCTGCATTAGAATCTTTATTATTTAACATTCATACTGGAGCACAACATGTTCCAGCTTTAAATGTCCATAACATTTGCTTTTCATTTCACACCTTAACAAAGCTGAGAAAAAATACAAGGGCAAGACAGTCACCAAACGTTGGAAAGACCAAGGCAGACCTTTTGAAGATGAAGAAGCAGCCCAAGGTGATTGCTTTGTTGATTTTTTTTTAAATCCATACTCATTGACAAGACATTTGCCATGTTTTGAATAACAGTGCAGAGTTTTTAGAAGTCAATACTGTTTTTCACTTTCTTATAATTCATTTATTCTTTTAAATTTCATTTTACATTACACCCACAGTTTTCCTTCCCACCACTCCTCCTGCTACCACCCCCCCAAGCCCACCCCCAGTCCACTCCTCCTCAACAAAAAGAGCTCCCTTAGGTTGGGGTAGAACCAAGCCCCTCTCCCTTACATTAAGCTGAACACAGCATTTTGGCATGTTTTTCACTTTTAAGGAAACAAGTATAAGCACCATAGTGATAAATTCATAGAAATTTTCACTATAATAAGATACGTGACTATGCTGCATTAGATGCTTTATTATTTAATATGCATACTGGAACATAATGTGTTCCAGCTTTAAATGTGCATGATTTTTGTTTTTCATTTCATACTTCAACAAAGCTGAGCAAAAACGTAAGCGCAAAAGAGCCAGCAAATTTTGGAAAGAGCAAGCCAAACTTTTGGAAGATGAAGAAGCAATTCCAGGTGATTCCTTTGCCTTATTTTTCTCTATTGCTTTACAAGATTTTTTTTCTCAAAATTAAATAATAGCATATTCTTTCAGAAAGACAGTTTTTGTTTGAAGAAATCTAATACAAGAAGTAACATAATGATAAATTGATACAATTTTCACTGTGCTAAATAAGATTTGTTGGTTATTCTAACAAGTTCATCTTTTTAAAGAAAAAGTTGTTTTCTGATTATGAAAATTTAATGTATCTAAAGTTTAATTTCTGTGGTATCCTTGTTTAAACAATATTTTATTTTTAATGATTTTATTGTTCTAAAATTTATAACATTTTTATCTGATTGTGTCCTCTCCCACAACTCTTCCAATGTCTTCCCTCACCTTCCTTTCTATAGGATATTATGTACCTTCTATTTCTTAACCAGAAGAAAGCAAAACTTACAAAAAATATGTGTCTAAATTGTGTTCACATAATACTGAATACTGACTGCCCTAGAGTGGCTTATATATACCATGTCACTCTATTGAAGAAAACTGATTTTTCTTTTACAGCAGCTGTAAGTTTTGAATATAGATTGTAAGCTAAGGACTGATACTTTATATCTACTTCACCTTATCCATCCTGAATTTGTTTTTCTGGCTTGAGCCATGTCCTGTGCGTTTTGTCATGTTCTTTCTGAGTTTGGATGTGTGTCTTTTCTGTTGTTTCTGGAAAATTCTCTCTCATCAAAGTAATTTTGCCCCTATTGGTTAGAATCTTTCTGTCTGCTTTTCCACATAGATAACTGACTATTGAAGGGGTGGGAGTGATAAAGATATGTCGTTGAGGGTTGAGCACTCCAAAGTTTCTCATTCCCTGTAGGTGGTTCAGTTGTAGGTCTCTTTGTTAATTACCAACTACTGTAAGAAGCTTCTCTGATGATGGTTTAGTGAATCATTGATCAGTGATTAGTGATGATTAGAAATCAATAAGAGTATGTCATTTATTTAGGAGTCATTTTATTATTATGACCACTTACCAGAATTATACTAATAAGAATTCTCCTAGTACATTTGGCCTATATTGTAACAGGGAGGTTTTTGCCTCATTATCAGTATCAGTTTTGGGTTCCATATCATGGAGTGGGCCTTAAATCCAATCAAAAACTGGTTGGTTACTCCAAAAAAATTGCTGCTACTATTGTGCCAGTGGGTATATCTTATAATCAGGTGGTTATTGTAGCTTGTTCAGTTTGTAGCTTGTTGAGATTGATGGTTGCTTTTCTGGTAACATGTATAACATATATAACGTATTTTTCACACTATGAACCATAGCCAGTAGAAGTGAAGCATCCATTTTCATACCAGCTGTGTTTTTCCATGTTTCTTGTCATAGTATGTGGTATATTCAACAAATTAAAACTACTTTGATATTCTTACCCTCAAGTTGTAGAGGGCAACAAGTAGCATTGGCAATGCCCTGTAGTGGGATCTGTGGGACCCCTTTGACCAACACCTCAAAAAGTGGTAACCCATTCCTGGTATAGAGTTGGGCTTTGGTAGCTTGTGCTGTAGAGTTGGTATGTTGTCCCTCCTTTATAAGGTCATTCCACTTGAACTCATTTTGTATTTATTTATATTTCAGGAAGCCTGCATTGTAATAGGTTTCCATTTGGCTTCTTTGACAGTTTTTTAAAATTAATTTTCCCTACCCGTGTTCCCTCCTCTACGCTTCCCTCTCATACCTCACCCCCTTTAATTCTATTTTTCTAATATTCATTTTATAACACTATATTCTATTTCCTGCTCCTTGGGGGATACTGTCTTCTCCCTGGTCGCTCTTTAGCTACCTATCTGTCTTTTTTCCAGTACGTATTTTTGTTTCTTTGACAAAAATCAGGTGTCTGTAGGTTATGGCCAGGTCTTTAACTCTATTCCATTATTCAGTGTATCTATTTTTAAGCCAACATTATGCTGTTTGTTTTAATATAGCTCTTCAGTAAAACTTAAAAGTCAGGAAGGGTAATAACTTCAGCAGTTCTCTTATTGTTTGTGATTATTTTAGCTATCCTGATTTTGTGTGTTTCCATATGAAAGTGAAGGCTGTTTATTACATTTCTGTGAAGGATTGTGTTGCAATTGTGATGAAAATTGCATTTAATCTGTAGATTTATTTTGGTACAATGGCCATTTTCTCAATATTAGCCTTACCCAATACATGAGCATGGGGAATCTTTGCATCTTTTGATGTCTTTGGTTTCTTAAATTTTATTGTACAAGTCTTTCATTTGCTTAATTTTAGTGATTCCAATATATTGTTGAAGCAATTGTGAAATTGTGTGATGTTGCTTTGCGGTGTGATTTGCTTCCCTGATTTGTCATTTGTATATAGTAAAGCTACTTATTTTTGTGTTAATTTTATAACCTGATATTTTGTTGAAGATATTAGCTATAGAAGATTCCTGGTATAGTCTTTGAAGTCTTTAATGTATAAAATCATATCATCTCCAGATGACAACACTTTGATTTATTTCTTGCCTATATGTAGCCCAATGATACCCTCTATTGCTTAGTGATCTAGCTAAGAGTTAGACACTATATTGAACAGGTATGGAAAGAGTCTATTAAATGATTTTTTTGTTTGTTTGTTTTGTTTTAGGTTTTGGATTTTTTTTAGTTTTTTTTTGTTTATCCCCATTTAGAAGGAATGTTGATGTGTGAGATGTTAAAAATTGCCTTTATTTTCTTGAGGTATGTCCCAAATATTCCTGATCTCCTCATGACTTTTATTAGCAATGTTGAATTTTGTCAAAGGCCTTTTCTCTATCCTTATGAGATTATCATGTGGTTTCTTCTGTCCTTTGGTCTATTTATGTTGTGGATTATGTTTTTGATTTGCATATGTTGAATCATCTCTGCATCTCTGGGATGAAGCTGACTTGATGGTGGATAATCTTTTTGATGCATTCTTGAATTTGGTTCGTAATATTTTATTGTTTTTTAATCTATATTAATGATGGATATTGGCCTATTTTCTTTTTTGTTGGGTCTTTGTGTGGTTTTGGTATCAGGGTGATAATGGCCTTTTAAGAAGAATGTAGGAATGTTTCTTCAGATTTTATTTTACAGAATAATTTTAAGACTGTTGTCATTAATTTTCTTTTGGATACCTAGTAGAGTTATATGCTGAAGCATCTGTCCCTGGGCTTTTTTTAGTTAGGAGATTTTTAGTTACTGTTTCTATCTTAATAGGGGTTAAATTACATTTACTTTATCTTGGTTTAACATTGATAGATCGCATATTTTAAGAAATTTATTTCTTTTAGGCTTTTCAGTTTAGTAGAATACAGAAATTTTTAAGTATTCCTAGCTGGGTGTTGGTGGCTCACACCTTTAATCCCAGCACTCAGAAGGCAGAGGCAGGCAGATCTCTGTGAGTTCGAAGCCAGCCTGGTCAACAGAGAGCATTCTAGGACAAGCTCCAAAGCAATACAGAGAAACCCTACCTCAAAAACAAAAAACAAAAACAAAAGAAGTATTCCTTTATGATTCTCTTAATTTTCTTAGTATGTGGTGTACTGTTCTTTTCATCTCTAGTTTTGCTAATTTGGATCTTGTTTAAAATAATTTTCATAAGTAACCTTTGGGATGTTTTGAAGATAAGCTTAAACTTTTTAGTCATGTGATAGTGTTTTTGCTATATCATTTTCTTTAATTTTTGTTGTTAAGCTCTTTTCTCAGCTCTTTCAGTGAAAAGTACAGAGAACACACCGCCTTCCTCTGATGAACAACCAAAATCTTCCACCTCCAAAGGGGCTCGATCTTCAAAGAAGTCTCCACGGAAAACAACTATTGTGACACCAGTGTCAAAGAAAAGCAAGAAATCAGGACAAACTAAGCCAACTGGAGATACTTCAGCTACTAAGAAAGTCATTACTGCTAAGCTTGTCGAACCAAATAAAAAAGGTGGACAGTCAGGAAAAAAGGTTAGTCATATCTCTTGCTAATTTGTATTGTAAAGTCTTTGTATTGGGTCATTATTTTTAACATGCAAGTTAGCAATTTACTAAGACTATGCTGAAGTTTTTAGGACTGTTTTAAATGTATAAGGCTCTTTTTGTCTTAGGTTTTCTATTGTGATGAACAAATGTAACTTATGAGGAACTTATACTTCTATATCACAGTTCATCATCAAAGGCAGTCAAAGCAGGAAGGAGAACTGAGTTTGGGGGTGTAGCAAAAGTAACATCTAAATTATTCATTGGACAGAATTAGCTACTATTTATTGGTGGTGAAAGAACAGAGTAAATGAATTGGAGAATAGAATAGAAACTATCCAATCTGAAAAACTGATACAGAATTTAAAATATCGAGAAAGACATTAAGTTGAGATTTCCTTCATTTGTGTAATTAGTCAGGAGGAAGCCAGGAAGGGATAGATTGGGGCAAGAAAGTACTGAGGAAAATTTTTCCTTATACTCATTTCTAGTCCAGTACAGTTTATCACAGACAGATATAAATACATAAATAATTTACATTATGAAAGCCTGAATGTGGAGGATAAGGATCTATATAATTTTAGTTTAAATATTTTATATGAAATGGTACAGTATGGATTTTTATTTGAAAATTATGTAGTTATGGATGAGCCTCTAGTCATAATATAAAGAAATAAGTGATAACTAAAATTCCAAGGAAGTAATTAAAATAGAATTTTAAGTATTCAAATAATCCCTCAAAAGCCATAGCCAGGCAGTGGCGGCACACACCTTTAATCCCAGCACTCAGGAGGGAGAGGCAGGTAAATATTTGTGAGTTCGAGGCCAGCCTGGTCTACAGTGTGAATTCCAGGACAGGCTCCAAAGCTACAGAGAAACCCTGTCTCGAAAAACAAAGATAGGATATTTGGAACCACTACAACAAAAATGAATAAAGGAAGCAAAGTGTATAATAAAGCCCTCTGACTTGCTGATGTTATTTTTGCTTATTTAAGAAAAGAGATTTATATAATTAACAGTGATTTTAAAAAATGTCTTGCATGTAACCTCGAATATTTTGAGGTTGACAGGTTTTACACAGTTAACTAATTTGACTCAGGTATCATCAGAAGATAGGATAGGGAATCCTACTTAGCCTTTTGGCCCCTTTCTCTAGCACCTGAACAGCTTGTGGGTCTGAGTTCAGTTTCCAAAGCACTGCAGTTCTTTGTATCCAGAAGGTTTTCAACGTTTTTTGTTAATTGATGATTTTGTAACCCAGTGATGTCTACCATTTTTTCTAATCTAGAAGCTTTTAAAAAGTACATATACTTGCATTCTTTATTCCTTTTTTTAAAAAAACAGGAAAAGTGTATTCCAGTTGTGTCTTCTACATCTTCAGCTTCTCTCAGTTCACTGATGAGAAGAAGCTCCTCATCTAGTATGTCTTCTATGGAGCCAAGTAAAATAGTGATGTCTACAGGTAAGTTAGTATTTTCAAAATAGCAATAAACATGTATTTGGCATTGATTTCAGTGTTCAGTTCAATTGTAAAATATTATTGTATTTTGTTAAGCTCATAGTTTGGCTTAATGTTAAGCAAAAACAGTCAATTTAAATCCATGTCACCTAAAAATAAATATCCAACATTTTGAATTTGTGTCATTATCAAATGTTAAGAGAAGCTTTTTCTTGAGAGGAGCCTTCCCGCCAGCCTGGTTCCAGAGCCGCTTGAGTCCCAAATAAACACACAGGAGGCTATATTAATTATGAAGCTGCTGGCCTTGCTTGTTTCTAACTGGCTAGCTCTGACTTAAGTAATTACCCCATAATTGTTAATCTGAGTATGTTTCTTACCGGAGAATAGTTCCCGGCTTCCTACCCCATGCGGTTACATCTCGAACTCTCTTGTCTTTCTCTTTCCCAGAATCCTCCTCGACTCCTAGTCCCTCCTATCTAGGTTTCCTATAGGCTCAACAGTACTTTATTGACAAATGCACAGGACTTCCCCCAACATCTCCTCTTTTCTGTTTAAACAAAAAGAAAGGTCTTAACTTTAACATAGTCAAATCATATATAACAGAACAGTTATCAAGTAAGAATACAGTTACAATATTTTGTCTATCAACATTTAGCAAGATTTAAAGAAAATATCATCCATCCCATCCTTGTGAGTCTAAAGTTCTATATGTAGCTTATCTCTTATCATAACTAAGGAAAACTATAATTATAAGTATCTGTCTTCAACTCCATCAAAGACCACAGAAGGATAATATATAAACACTAGGATTGACAGAGACATCTTACTGCCTGGGGGTCACCCGAAGTTCCTCTGTAACGTTGGGGCATCCATCTTCAGCCCATAGGCCACAATGTGTCTGGAACACTTCTCAGCAAAGCAGGAAATTTCAAACTGTCCATCTGCATTGGCAGTCTGTCAGTCATTTTTCTTTGTCCTGCAGAAAGTCTCGTAGACTCTTCATCAAGCAGGAACCCTGTAAGACTGAGTTCAGTAGTCACTTTCCTATGGGTCCTGCATGTCCAGATGATACAACAACAGTCAAACAATCTAGGCAAGAGCAGTTTCTTGCCCAAATGGCTAATCTTGTCATGTTGAAAGCAAACTTTATAACGAGTTTCTTCGATGCCCATCTTCCTCTCAGACATAATTGGTGCTGCCAGGAGCAGACATTTCTCATTGTCAAGACAACCCTAAACCATTTTAAATGCCATGTTCTGAAGGTCTTTGAGAGGTTTGAAGGCTGTCCATCTCAAATATATTTCTGTATATCTAGAAACCTAACTTATGTAACTAGAAATTCTATTATAAGTAACTATCTATAATCTGTATTCAATTATGCATTACATTTTAAAAGATCAGTATAAGCACAATACTTAATCAAGAGGAGAAAATATACACATCACAAAATTGACCTTGAATTTGTATCAATAAATGAAAAACAATACCCATACCATAATTCCCCTTTTTACCATTAAAAGGATTGGCTGTGATCATTAGCCAATTATAAACAATCCCATTTAAATGAAAACAAAGATTTATAAACAAGATGGGAATTGGGACGTCGCTCATTCCAAACTGCTTCCTGCTGGAAGGGGGCGCTGTTCATACCATGGGGATCATGACAAAACTCAGAAACCTGTATAAGTCCTTATTTTCGTGGTCTGTAAAGCTGCATCATCTTAGCTGTCTCAATTGTTGGAACACCTGGTCCACTGCTTCCGGGGGTCTTGGTTCGTGCAACCACAGAAGCCTGGAAGAAATCTTCAGCTTTTCATTTTCTGTAGAAACATAAATAAAAACTCCTTTTCCGAGTAAAATATCCTTATGCTTAAATTTTGAAGTCAAGGTATTTTCAAAAGATATAAGTTGTATTAATTTAGCAGCATTTATAAGCAAGTGTACTTTAGTATCAGTTCCTTCCTGAGCAAGCAAAAAACTGAAAAACACAATAGTGTACAGTATCCAGACTCTCTGTGTATTTTCCATCTTTACGTGGCTTATTTATTTATCTATTATTACTTTATTTCTTTCACTTTTATTTATTTTTCTCTGAGACAGGGTTTCTCTTCGGAAATCCGCCTGCCTCTGCCTCTGGAGTAAATCCTACCGGCGTACATGCGCCACCACAACGCCGGCTTTTGTATTTATTTACCACTTTGCCGTTTCATTTTCTCTCTCAATCTCACGTATATTTTTAAACACACTGTAAACCTTTAGAGGCTTTCTTTTATCCAAGTCTGACTTTACTGTAAATCTTTATGTTTTTCTGGCCACGTGTCTTATCTGTAAAACCGCGGCTGTTTTAAACTGCCGGTTTTTCGTCAAGATGGCGGGCGTAAGCATGACTCCAGCTTACCGCCTCAGTCCATGCTGACATCCAGCAAAAGCTGCCACTTCCAGCTGTACGTACACACCTTTCAATCGTTAGCAGAGTCTCTTAAAAGAAGCTTGTAGGTTTTTTTTTCTTTCTCTTTTAATGCCAAGTCAGGAAGACTCCAGTAAGCGAGCCACATGAATCTCGGCTTGTGGCTAGCAAAACAGAGCACACCTGAGAAAAATGCTGCTACCAAGTTAGTTCAGGAACAGCTAGATGCTGGACATATTGAGGAATCAACTAGTGTGTGGAAATTCATGACCCCACTCCTGGTACCATTTTGTTAAGAGAAGCTTTTTCTTGAGAGGAGCCTTCCCGCCAGCCTGGTTCCAGAGCCGCTTGAGTCCCAAATAAACACACAGGAGGCTATATTAATTATGAAGCTGTTGGCCTTGCTTGTTTCTAACTGGCTAGCTCTGACTTAAGTAATTACCCCATAATTGTTAATCTGAGTATGTTTCTTACCGGAGAATAGTTCCCGGCTTCCTACCCCATGCGGTTACATCTCGAACTCTCTTGTCTTTCTCTTTCCCAGAATCCTCCTCGACTCCTAGTCCCTCCTATCTAGGTTTCCTATAGGCTCAACAGTACTTTATTGACAAATGCACAGGACTTCCCCCAACAATCAAATCCTTCTACTTTATATTCAGAGTATTTTGTCACTTTGTATTATACGTGTTTTCCAAGGTAACTCATGCCTTTTGAAAACAATTACCTGTCAAAGGACATGATGATTTTAAATTCTTCTCTGGTAGGTTTAAAAGATCACAGATCAAAGAAAATCCTCTTTATCATCCCTTGTAAATTTCCTTAATCTTTTTGTAGTTTAATTTTTTCATTTTTATTTTGTATGTATGAGTGTGCCTTGTTCCCAGAAGTCAGATACTCTGGGACTAAAGATACTTAGATTTCATCTAAGAGATGCTCTACATATTTTGTAGAAATATAAAACATTGAAATCCTTATTTTGCCTTACTTCCTAAATGTATCTGTGCCATTATCATCTTGGACTGAAGTTTTTCATCACTGTTTAATGTTTATCCTTCTTCTGACTATTGGGACAAATCGAATTATCGTATATTTCAACCCAGTGAAACTGAGATGAAGGAGGTTTTAGTATACTAAATATATACATATATATAATTTTCAGTGCAAATTGATAGTTTAAAATGGCATTGATTTAAGAAACCAATAGCTTCAATAATGATAAACCTGAATGTTGTTATAGTATACATTGATTTGCATTTGTTGATTTAAATTATCTACACTTGACACCATTATTATAGATGAGAAACTTTGGTAATGATGCTTTTATTGTACAAAGAAAATAGTTAAAAAATTTACTCAATGAGCCTAGGCACATACAGAAGGAAATACTTATTTTCATATTCAAACTTTATATCATTATAACTTATTAAATATACCTTAAATCATTTGAATGCTTTAGAAAATACAATGGAAGTACACTTTTGGTTATGTACAAGAAATGTAGACATAAATGAGTAGGGATGACCAATATTCAAAGGAAATTCACATACTGTATGTACAATGAACTTGGGTAGGTAGAGAACTGGGAAAGCTCTAGGAGGAGCTGGAGAGGAAAAGATCAAATTTTAAAGAAAAGCAGGAAACTATTCTTTTATTTTGTATCATTTCTTGCAATAATAATTAAACTGATTATATGATGCCTCTATGTCTTCTCAACCATATATTTTATATAATCAGTTTTGGTAGAATTCTAAAGTATTGCATAAGCTCTTTTTTAATACTTGCATGTATAAAATCTTTATATAAATATGATAGCATATCTGCCTGCCTGTTTTCAGTAGCAGAAATGATCATTGATATGAACTATATTTAAATTTCCTTTAAATGAAATCACTAGTAGGATATGGCAATTATATAATAGTTTCACAAAATTTATTTTAATCTCATTATTTATATTCATTTTCTCAAGTCTGTGTCTACATAAATAAACATGGAGATTGTGGCCCCTACCTGGATCCACAGAAAGTTCGGCAGCTGCCTAACCACTTTGGCCCAGGCCCTGTGAATGTGATTCTCCAGAGGACTGTGCAGGCCTGTGTTGATTGTGCCATTGACACCAAGACTGTGTTTTTATTTCTTAAGCCAGACAATCGAGGAGGAGAAATAATAACTGGTATACTAATCTAATTCTTTATTCAAATTCTGTTCTAAGTTTGATTTGAGATTTAGAAAGGCAGACTATTATATGGATTACTTCTAATATTTATACTATAATATTTTATTACACTGTTAACATAAGTATAATGGTTATATGCTTACAAAATTTTAACTCTTATTTGGAAACTTTACTTTTATGAAAGCAGACAGATGAGAACCAGGTATTGTGGCACATACCTAGTCTCCTTGTATTCAGAAGTCTCAAACAGAAGGATTACTATGAGTTCAAGGGAACACTGGGCTATAAGTAAAGTACCAGTGTCAGCTAAGGCTATATAGTAAGACCCTGAGTCACACAAACAAAAAGCAAAATATACAATCGTCAATATAATACTGTAGGTTAAAGCAAAAGATACTGATGTTTTTCATGTACATGCTTTGTTAAGGTAGATATTTAGGCATAGTACACTGGTTGATTTAAAAGTTTTAATTTTTATAGAAAATCTCTAAGAAAATTTTAAGAATGGTGTATCTCTAAAGAAAGCCTTATTAAGATAAAATGAAATGTCTAGGGATTGTAGCTCTGGGGTAGTATGCATTCCCTGCATGTACAAGGCTCTAAATTTAGTACCCACTACCATAAAACACTTTTGAAAATAGAGTAGGAGAGAAGTAAGTTGCAACCAGTGTCTATCATAATTGTATAAGCAAATACCATAACATTTTACTCATGGGATGTTTAGAATATTGTTACTGTAAAGCAAACCATTTTTGTTTCCCTGTTTATGAATATTTAAATAGGATTTTTATCAATTCTTTTTAAATTCCAAAACCCAGAAATTAAGCTTTAAAACTACATTTCCTGGATTTATTCTTTTGTTATGTTTCTCATCTGTCTATGAGATGACTGATGACTGACATTAACTACCTACTTTATAGCCTTCTTTGATGGGAAAGTTCATACTGTTCAGCTCCCTCCAGTGAATAGTGCATCATTTGTGCTTCGCTTTCTTGAAAATTTCTGCCATAGCCTTCAGTGTGATAAGTTTTTGAGTAGCCAGCCTTTCAAACGTAAGACTACTACAGACCTTGATCAAAACAAATCAGGTAAGAAAAGTTTTTTATAGTATATATTTAAGATATTGTGGGGGAGGGGTCAGGAACAATGTACATATGGAGGTCAGAGAATAAGTTTATAGAGTCAGTTCTCTCCTTCCATCTTTGCATAGGTTCCAGGAATTGAACTCAGATCAACAGACTTGTGTAGCAAATGTCTTTATCTGCTGACCCTTAATGTACTTTTATTTTGCACTTTATATTTGGGAATCTGGGTATTTTAGCATTTTTCTTTCTGTCATCCTCAAACATTGAGCTACACTGAACTAATGAAGAATGTGTAGTATATAATTATACTTACTTCACCTAAAGTAAGAAACTAATTTCTTACTGTATCCCCAGTAAACTTGAGAATCAATCCTAGTGTGTTATGTTTTGCTTCTGTGTGATCAGTTGATAGCTAAAACATTTTCTGTTAAGTTGAGGCATGGCTTTTACCTTATTTGCCTTAATCTAAAGAAAGTAGCAAAGACTATTGAGCTCATAGATTATAAAGAATGATTTTCTCAAAATTAGCTATGGTTACCTGTCTTTCATAGACATTGAAGCTGATGGCTGAATAAAAAGAAGAGTGCAATGTTGTCCTCTAGAACCAAGGGTGATATTCTTGTTTCTAATCTCTACAGTGAAAAACTTGTTTGAACTTTTTGGTCATTTTTTTCTGGAAGAAAAATTTGTTGCTCTTTCATATGACTATTGACAGGTGTTCTGGTTATAGAAGTTTATGTATGTCTTAAGAGTAACTAAAAGTTTTCTAGTCAAATGTTGCCAATTGTGAAACTACAGAATACCATGACAGACTTAATCTGTGTAAGTTCACTGTATTCCAGTAGGGAGAAAACTGGAGTATCACTTCCAGTTACTAATTTTCTGGTCTTTCTGATTATTCTCATTTTTCCTCATAAATCTTGTTTCCTTTGTTTCTGTGAAATCTCCCTGTCTTGTCCTTCCTTTGCCATTTCCTTGCCACTACCCTCATCCCATTCAGAATCCCTTTTCTGGTTTAGTAGTGTGATCTCCTAATTGGAGTCCCCTTTCTGGTTTCTCTGTGCTGGTATAACTGCTCAGTGAATCCCTTTGAAATAAAGTTATGATACAGGAAGTCCTTATATGAAAGTACAGTAGTCATAAGGGGTTGGAATTTATCAAATCTGGGTTCCAATGCTGACTTTGTAACCTGTATACTAAAAGGACATGATGTCTGGCAGACCTAAATTTTGATCTAAGGCCTGCTGTTAATTAGAATTATACTTAATGAACAAATTACTGATCTTCCCTGGTTCTCAGTTTGTCTCTCTTTAAAGTGGTTACTTTCTGAATTGTGAGGAAATATGTACAGCCATATCTGTAATCTCAACTACTGGAGAAGTTGAGGAAATCTTAGGTGTATTTGAGATAACAGTGTTGAGTTCAAGCTAGCTTGTAGCTTAGATAGTTTACTGAGATTCTGTATCAAAATCTAAAGTAAATAGGGGATATAGCTCAGTGTTAAGAGTGCTTGCATGGCGTGTGTGTGACCACAGGATAAATAAAACTTAGACATATCCTTATCTAGATGCTTCTAAATTATTGAATCCACACACACAAACGCAAAATTTTATTTATGTAGGTATGTGTGTGAACGTGCCCACAAAACCCAGAAGGGACATCAGATCTTTTGGAGGTTACAGGCATTTGTAAGCTGCCTAATGTGGGTGCTGGGATCTGGTCTCCAATGCTCTGATAGAGCAGTAGGGGCTCTTAGCTGCTCAGCCATCTCTCCAGCCTAACTTTTTAATATTTCAGTAGAAATACCTAATAGGAAACAGCCTGTTAATGATAGTCAAATAATTGACACGATTGAATCATAGGATGCAAATTACTTTGAAACAGAAATACTCATACAGATACTACAAAAATACCTGACTATAGTAATTATAACATGTACCTTTTTTAAAAAGCAGTAAGTGAGGAACTAAAGGAAAGGAGATGCTTCAAACGATGTTCTCAGCGACCTCTACCTGCCTCATCAAAGGTCCCCAGAAAGACGGGACGAACCTCTAAAGGTAAACGGCATTTCACACACACCAGAATTGAAAATGAGAATCCCTCGGTCACCACCTATGTATGCTCTTGGTGTGATTGTTTTGAGGATAGGAAGTTAAATTCACCCGTGTTTAACAACTAAGTTATTACTTTGGTTACTGAGCACTGTTGTCATTTTTCCCTTATTTAAAAAAAAACTACTTAGAATAGCCCTATCCATTCTGCTTTTGTATTGCTTATAATAACTAAGAGAATAAGAGATAGAAAAGCTTATCTATTTTCTCCAATGAAAGCATAAGTAAATGTCAGAAAGCAACAGTATGGTCATGAGGAATAGTTCTGAAGAATTGTGCTCCTAAGAACAAATGATTTTTAAGTTTACAGCTTTGGTGACAAGAATGGAAAGATACACTAAATTGTCATAAGAAACATAGATGATGGCCTAGAATCAACATGGATTTTAGGATAGTGTCCATTGCTATGTATGATGAAACAGAGGTTCCATGTATTTTGTGTTAGAAGCTTGCCATTCAGTAGAGCATGAATTAAATGATGTTATTGGAAATAAGGTATTTTTCTTGGTCAAGAATCACGTACATCTATGTAATGTATCTTAATCGGGCCTCACCTCATTCCTTCCCCTTCAACTCCTCCTCTACACCTTCACCACTGTTTCCTCCCAATTTCATGGATTCACTGGCTTTGTTGTTGTTGTTTAAACCCACAGAGTTCACATAGTTCTGATTTCATGTGCATTCATATAGGACTGTCTACTGGAGCATAGACTCTCAGGGACTACATCCCTGAAGAAAAACCCTTGCTCTCTCAGCAGCAATCAATTGTCAGTAGTTCCTAGAAGTGAGATGTCCTAAGCTCCTTTCATATCCATGCTGGAATTTTTTGTCTGGTTTGTCTTTGTGCATGAAGTCACAGGTGTTAGTTTATATATGCACTTGCCAAATTGTATCTAGAAAATACTGTTTGTTGTAGTTATCTACTGCCTCTGGCTCTCATAATCTTTCTGCCCCCCTTCTGAGATGATCCCTAGCCCTGGGGTCACAGTATAGTATAGATTTCCCTAGTCTCTCCATCTCTACACCTTGCTCAGTTATAGGTCCCTGCTAATATCCAGCTACTGCAAAAAAAAAAGAAAAAAGAATTGAGAGTACACTTATCTATGTGTCTGTCTTTAGAAATCAGTTTCATACTATGTACGTTTAGCATAATAATGGTATTGAGTTTCCCAGGACCTGTAACCTACCTATACTCGGATTGTTGGCCTCATGCAAAGCATGAGTTCAATCTTATGGAAAAGGCCTTAGATACAATAATACAATCAGAAAGTGATTGGTTACTTCCATAGCATTCATACTGCTATTGTAGCAGTAAATATATCTTCACAGACTATAATTATAATAGTTTTCTGGGTTCATACCTGGATAAGACTAGTGATTACTTTTCTCCCCTAATAGTGTGCCTAGTACCACTCAGCACGATAAAAGCTAGCCAGTAGCTTATGGGTCAGAACAGCTTGATTTCTCTATGCTTTATGTGGTATCTTTAGCAAGTAGGATCTTATCATTGAGTTCTGGTGGGAGGGGTAACCAAGAGCAGTGGTAATAGTCCTGGTTATAATGTTTACTCGTCTATGAAGCCCCACTGATCAACCATTTCAAAAGAAGTAACCTCCTGGTACTGAGTTTTTATTTGATAGTCTGTAGTGTCTGTGATAGGCCCCACTTGAACTTTTTATATATTACATATTTTAGAAAGCTTGTATAATAGTAGGTTTCCATTTTGACTTTTTCAAAAGTGTTTAGTGTTAGTATCTCTGAAAACTCTCTCCTCTACTCTGCACTCCAACCCCTACCCCACTTTACCATTCTTGTTCCATTGTTCCCTATTATATGCCTTTGTTCTTTCTCCCTTCTCTTAAAAGCACCCTCATGTTCCCTTACTGTTTTCCTGACTTCTCTGGGTACTCTCGTTAAATACTTATATCTGAAGATTCAAAGCTGGAGTTTGCATATGAGCAAAAATGTGAAATATTTGTCTTAAGTCTGGGTTACCTCACTAATAGTTATTTCTAGTTCCATTTACTTGTGAATTTAATAAGTTCATTTTTCATAACAGTTGAATAATATCCCATCGTGTAAGTGTACCACATTACAATTAGCCATTCATCAGGTTATTTCCATTTCCTCACTCTTGTGAATAGAGCAGCAATGAACATGGATGAACAAGTATCTCTGTAATAGGTTATAGAGTCCTTTGAGTATATGCTCAGGAGCATTATAGATGGATCATATGATAAATCTATTTTAAGGAACCTCCACACTTAATTTACATACTGGTTGTACCAGTTTATACTTCCAGCAATAGTGAATAAGTGTTCTCCTTTCCCCACATCCACACCAGCATTTGTTGTCCAACTGTTTTTATAACTCTTAGCTATTCAAACTGGGGTAGGATAAAACCTCAAAGTAATATTAATTTGTTTCACTATGACTAAAGATATGGAACAGTTTTTTTTTGATGTTTCCAAGCCATTTGTATTTTGTCATTTTAGAACTTCATTTAGTTATATGCCAGAATTTTAAATTGAGTTTTTTTGTTGGTGCTTAGTGTTTTTTTAAATCTTTGTATATTCTAGACACTAGCCCTCTATGAGATATAGAGTTTATAAAGAATTTTTCTCATTCCATGGACTAGCTCTTTACTTTAATGATGGTGTCCTTTGCTGTACAGAAGCTTTTAATTTCAGGAGCTCCCATTTGTCAGTTGTTGATCTTAATACCTGTACTACTGGCATTCTTTTAAGAAAGTCCTTGCCTACACCTAAAAGTTGAAGTATATCCCCTAATTCTTCCTCTAACAGATTTAGCATATTAGGTCTATGTTGAAATCTTTGATCCATTTACAAGAGTTTTGTTCCTTCTATATGTATCTATCCAGTTCAACCAACACCGTTAATTGGAGATGTCTTTTCTCCAATATATATTTTTTGCTTCTTTGTTAATAGCCAGGTGGCTATAAGAGGGTTCTATTCTATTAATCACTCTGTTGGTTTTTATGACAGTACCATGCTGTTTTTATTGCTATACTTCAGTAATATTATTTGAAATTAAAAATGCTGGAACCTCCAGTAATCTGTTTATTTTTCAGAATTGTTTTGACTATCTTGCGTCCTTCTGTGTTTCCATATAAGTTTTAAATTTTTTTCAGTTTCTGTAAAGAATTGCATTGGTATTTTGAGGGGGATTGCTGATTACATTGAATCTGTAATTTTGGTAGGATGGCCATTTTCACTATATTGATCTTACCAATCTATAAGCATCTGAGGTCTTTCAGTCTTCTGTTATCTTTAATTTCTTTTCTGGTGTCTTATATTTTTATTATGCAATCTTTTACTTCATTTGTTAGATTTATTGGAAGATACTTTAAGTTTTCTTGAGGCAAAGTCTTATTATGTAACTCTGGCTAGCTTGGAACTCACTATATAGACCATCTGGTCTCAGTAGGTCTTTCTCTGTCTTCACAGTGCTAGAATAAAAGGCACAGTAGGAAAAGTAAGATTATTTTTACCTTTGTGATAGTTTGAATGATAATGGTCTCCATAAGCTCAGGTATTTGAATGTTTGGTACCCAGTTGGTGGAACTATTTGGGAAGGATTAGGAGTTGTGACATTGTTGAAGGAGCTATGTCACAGGGGGTGTGACATTGTCGAAGGAGATATGTCACAGGGGATGGGCTTTAAGATTCCAAAAGAGAGACCCATGCAATGTGGCTCTTTCTGCTTGTGGTTGTGTTTCAAGATGTATGCTCTCAGCTATTGCTCAAGTGCTGTGCCTGCTTGCTTGTTGCCATGCTCCTCACCGTAATGTTTATGAACTCTAACTCTCTATAACTGTAAGCCCCCAAATTAAATGCTATCTTTTGTAAGTTTCCTTGGTCATGGCATTTTGTCAGGGCAATAGAAAAGTGACTGAGACAGAACATGGTACCAGGGAGTGGGCTATTGCTGTAACAGGCCCGATCATGATGTTTCTTTTGAGGGATATGGAAGACTTTGGATTTTTGGACTAAGAACATACTTGAATGCTGTAAATAGAACTTAATGGGCCATCATAATAATAGCTTAGAAGACAATAGAGCTGAGAGTGATGTGAACCAGCTCAAGAGATTTTAGATGGGAACAATATTAGCAACTTGGCTAGATGCTGTTCTGGTTATACTTTGGATGATTTCAAGATATTTCAGATAAGAGCCATATTAGAAACTTGGCTAGAGTCTGTTCTGGTGAGATTTTACATAAGAATATAACTGCTTTTGTCCTAACAGTCTTCGTGAGGCTAAATTGAAGAGTTTTGAATTAATTTCATTTGCAGAAGAGAGCTCAAGACAGCCAAATATTAACTCTATCATGTGGTTATTAGTGATGTACAATGAAAAAGAACAAGCAGGGCTACAAGAAATACAAAATACACAGTTTGAGGAGATAAAGAGAAATGGAATAAAGGGTATGGTAACCTCAGGGCAAGATCCTACCCAGCTAATTCTGCAACTTGTAAAAAGGTTTAAGGTACTATCTGTTTCTAAAGACCAAGAACAAATCAAAGCAAAGCGTATGTAAATATTTCAAGGAGGGGGCCAGGTTCAATCCCAAGCCAGCCACAGAACTTGGCAGCTTCAGCCCATGGCATGACTTTAGAGTCAAGAAGGATACGAAAGTAAAGGGGTTGTGGAATCTGCCTACACCATTAAGGAAAGCTGCTGAGGCCAGGAGTGTGGCAGGGAAGTCTCTACATGGAGGCCCAGAGAGGCCATTGCATGAAGCTGTGAAAGAGAAGCCTGGATTGTATTGGAGACCCCAGGATGCTGGAGATGACAGAGCTGTAGGATACCTGCCAAGGAGTGGTGCATACAGTGAGTGGAACCAGTTCAAGAGAGAAAAATGTGTTGCAGTCAGCAAAGCTGGAAGGGCAGAACCATCTAAGACCTTTGACATCCGACATAGAACTACAGGATTTGGAGTTCTCTCTACTAGGTTTCAGTCTTGTTTTGGTTCAGTATTTCATCACTATGCCCCTATTCATCCCTTTTGGAATGGTAATGTGCATTCTTTGCCATTGCATGTTGGGTGTATATAATTTACCTTTGATTTTACAGGGGCTTACAGTTATTGCCTCAAATCTCAGAAGAGACTTTGGACTTTTAAACAGTTTCAATATTGAAAGACTGTGGGGACTTTTGAAGTTGAACTAAATACATTTTGCATTATGATACAGCAACAAGCCTATGGGGACCATGAAGTGGAATGTGATAGAATGAGAATGGCACTCATAGGCTCATAGAATTAAATATATTTTGTCCCCAGTTGCTGAACTGTTTGAGAAGGATTAGGAGTTACAACCTTACAACCTTGTTGGAGAAGATATGTCACTGAGGGAGAGCGTTGAGATTATAAAAGCCCATGCCAATTCCTGTTCTCTCTCTCTTCTCTCTCCTCCCCCCCTCTCTCTCCATCTCTCTCTCTGTCTCTGTCTGTCTCATGCTTATGAATCAGAGGTCAGCTCTCAGCTACTGCTCAAGCAGCTTGCCTGCCTGCCTATTCCCATGCTCTCCACCTTGATGGCCATGTACTCTAACCCTCTGTAACCATAACCTCCAAAATTAAATGCCTTTTTTGCCTTTGTCATGGTGTTTTGTCACGGCAATGGGAAAGTAAGACAGCTTTCTAATAGTATTTGAGCTGTTGAAGATAATCTCTTTTTCCCCCTGTAGTATTGTCTCCTGAGGGACATGGCATGTCTAAAATGAAAAGTTTTCCTGAAACTTCTGAGAATTCATCAATAGGTGATTCTTTGTATCCTGCACTTACTTCAGTCTCCAAGAATGTTTCTGAGATTGTGTCAAATACCTCAAGTACATCTATAATTTTGAAAAAGTCATCTACCTCGACAACTTATAAGCACATTAAATTCCAGTGGAAGAAGAAAAATGAAGGTATATTCAAGAACAGTCTTTCTCAGTCAATGTGTTTATCTTTTTCCTTGAGGATTCCATGTCTGACCAAATTAGAGAGGTCAGGTTCTCTCTTTCACGTTGCCAGGAACAAAACTGTTGTGGCTGTTCCTATCCTCTTGACAACACAGAAGGTCTATGGGGGTTTGGATTACCCAACACATTTGATAGAGACTTCTCAGATAAGTAATTTTCAAGCAGCTCTAATTTCTGATGTACGGTGAGGACTCTTAAAACCTCTCATGAATCTTAAGGCCAAGGAGGCACATCTTCTCCTTGTTTCTGATGTGCTGTCATATCTGTTGAGACCTTTCCTAGTACCAGTCTGTGTGTGGCACATGAATCAGGTCTCTAGAATCCTGTTTCAGTAACTGATCAAAATATCTATTGCTATACAGTGACGCATATAAGATGGATCAAATAAAAATACTAAAGCTTCTCTCTGACCTAGCTGAGCAGGAAATAATTTTGTTTTATTTGAGATGAGAATCCAAAGTGCAAATGTGATGCTAAAGTTGTCCATACTGAATAACTGAGGAAAATGGTTCAAATATTTAATCCCCTTCTCAAACATAATGTGATTATTGAAATACACGTCGTTAAAATTGAGCAAATACAGAGAATTATACACCTGCAAAGTTGAGAGTCCCTTCATATTTAACAAAATAAAGTCAACTTAGAAGAAAAAGACAAAGAATGATTTGTGAAAAGTTTGTTGGATCCGTTCAAAGAAGATAGTACTGAGTTAGCTTCAATTATCCCAATTTAATCTAAGTAGCACCCTTTCCTGTACTTGCTTGTGATCTATGAAGCCTTGGATTGCTACACGTGTTTCGTGAACACTGAAGCTTTTAGGTGCCATCTAAATTAAAGCTGTCCTGCTCTTTGGGGGAGGCCCATTGACACATTCTTATGCAGCACTCCTCAGATCTTCATTCAGGCCCTTGTGAGATTTTACAGTTGGAATCTTGAGTCCTTACTTAGGCACTTAAGAGAAGGTTCCAGGAATGAGACCATTACTTTCTACCTAACATCTCTTCTTTCAGGATTATGATCAGGTCAAGTATGATTTGTTTTTTTTCCCCTCCCATTGAAGCTTCAAGTTATATAGCTGTACCAGACCCCAGTGTCCTGAAACAAGGCTTCTGTAAGGACCCTGCAACCTGGTCTGTGGATGAAGTGATACAGTTTATGAAACATACAGATCCTCACATATCAGGCCCCCTCGCCGACCTCTTCAGGCAACATGTAATGTATCTTTTGATCCGGTTTTCCTGCTGCCCTAATGCCTTTGAATGACCTCTGTGCAGGCCTTTCAGTTTGATACTGAGTTGTATGGATGGTGGGGGAACCCTATCAACTGATCTTTTTCATTTTGGGGAAAGATTACTTTGCCCCACATTCAGGCCTTAAATGATAGGTTAATTGCCTGTTCTATAAGTGGGTATCCAAGTATCTAGTACACTAAACAGCTTCAAGTTTTCAAGAGGTGGCATTACAGGATTGCCACTCTCATGCAGACCACCCCTTCTTGCTCCCTGTTCTACTCTAGGACCACGAGTAGGAGGGGTAGGAGGGGTTGACCTACAGCGTATACCAGGGTGGCCTTCTCGTGATACCCAGTGAAACCAGCAACTCCATTATGATTTGAATACCAAATAATAAGCTTCTATAACATAAATTGTATAATAACAATAATAAAGAATTTTAAAGATTCCTTGTGACTGTTAAGAAATGTGTTGACAATATTTTCTAACATAAAATTATTTAATATCTGGTGTACACTATTTGTGTGTATGTGTGTGTGTGTGTACGTGCACATGTGTATACAGGAGCAAATGCATACATGTATATGTCTATGGGAGGCCATAGGACAATCTCAAGTATCATCTTCAGTAAGGCTATCCATCCTCCTTTTGAGACAGGGTCTTTCCTTGCGATCTGGGGGCTCATCAGCTATGTTACACTGATTGGCCAGTGCACCCCCAGGGATTGTCATGTCTATATCTCTTCAGTGCTGGGATTAAGTACATGCCATCATGTCTGGCATTTTTACATGTATTCCGGAGATCCAACTCCCGTCTTCATGTTTTCAATGGAAGTGCTTTACTGACTGAGCAATCTGATTAGCTTTCAACATGAAGATGAAACTGTGTAGCATGTTTAAAGTTTGTATTGATTCTGACATACTCCTTTCCTTTCTCAGAAAGTTAAAAGCATATGAAATTAACTTCTACTATTCATGGTCTTTAACTATTTGTCATAAATATGTGGTAGTATTTTGTTTAATACACAGTGAAATCAGATGCTTTGATACTTAGAACATTTGTTGGAAATACTGAGTTAAACATTTTTTTAAAATTTAGATTAAATTTACAAATTATCAAATGATGTTCCATTGTACAAATCAAATTTTATTAGTTTTCATAAAAATACATTCAAAGAATATATGTATATATGGAATGTACAGTACTTTATTTTCTACATTCTTATATGTAAATAACTTAAACTATGGAAGGATCCTTACTATAACTTTCTTCTCTCTGTAGGAAATTGATGGGAAAGCTCTGCTACTACTGAAGAGTGAGCTGATGATGAAGTATATGGGGCTGAAATTAGGACCAGCATTAAAACTGTGTTACTACATTGAAAAACTAAAAGAAGTAAAATATAATTGAAAATGTGCAAATTTTGATTAGAGACAATTCTCAGGTATACTGAAAATATTTTACATTAAAAGTAGTTTTCTTCTCATCATTTTTTATTGTATAAAAAGTTTTTATAAAAATATTTTATCAAAATTGTAGTACAGTTACATTGATAGTATACTCTTATTCCTTAAATACCATTGAATATGTTTTATTGGCATACTTATAACTGGCAATTTATTATTTATGTCTTTAATTATTTTTATTGTGTTTACAAGTGTACTTCATGTAGCAAACAGAGGAAAACTTTTTATTTGGATTTCTCTTTATATCTAGAACCAAATAACTAAACCCCAATGGGGAAAATACCAGCAACTTAACCTCTATTATAAGAACATGAGAATTTTTCCTCAAAAGAGAATTTAAAGATGCACTTAAGCTCTCATCTCCTTCCCAATTTTATACATCTGATTTTACAGTATTCTGTTCGTGATGTACTACTACTAGAAAGGGATGAGCCATATAAATTATTTTCCTTCCTGTTGGTGCCCTTGGTGGTGTATTTGCTAACACGAGAGGAATAGCAAGTCTATAAGCTTTCTTAAAGTGTTCTTACTAGTCTTTGATATTTTTAAACTGATAGATTAAAGTAAGTAACTTTGTGTAGGAGATGTTTATTCTACCAGAGTGAATTGGAAGTATTGGATAAACGTTATACCTATTTTACAGTTTTCTGTATTTTTTCTAAGCTCAAACATTAGACATTCAATTTGACATCTCTACTTCCAAGATATTTGTATCCAGATTTTAAAATTTTGTTTATTTTGTGTATATTACTCATACAGATACTTTAACATATTTATATACTATTCTATATCTGTGAGAATATACAAGTGATCTTTTGACTTATTATGGCACTTTACACTGCCACAGAGGTAATAAGTATATGTAGATGTTTATTCCATTAAAAATACATACATCATTTTGCTATCACCAGTACCTCTCAGCTTATTATTCGGGTGATAAGAAACTCTACATAGATTGGCTCCCACATAGGGAAGCTCTTTATCCTATGCAATATTTCTAATTATTTAGTTCTGAGCCATCAACTTTACTACATTTTAAAAGATCTGACATCGGGGCTTCATTTTTATGTGAGCTTTCAAAGGAAACTGGTTCTGCATGCCATTACTTTATATAGTGGTGTAATGCATATAAGCTATAAGTACATGTATTAGCCATTTGTTCTAAATGTCAACAAAATGTTCACCAGTACGAGAATATACATTTTCTCTTTTGAATACCAAATGTGTTTTATACAACAAATGTATAAAAGATTATTTCACCTTTGTCATTTCTGATACAACTTCTTACTTAAACTTGATCTTCTTGCAAATTGTTGTCCAGTTGAACGGTCCTCAGGTGTTTATAATACTATGTCTTATCATCTTCGGATGTAAAGAATACAATAAATAACCACAGCAAGCAATACTGAGGCCTGGGATTTTATTTTACTTACCTTCTCCACAGTGTATTAATATGTGGGCTTGTTAGTCTTGAAAGAAGGGATTTTGAGACTACTTAGTAGTACACTTAAGAGTTAAAACCCTGCAACACAAAAAATAAAAGACCCAGAGACTTATATTCGGTTTCAAGCTGAAGATCAGAAAAGCAAAGTAGCTGGTCACTAGCTTTTACCATTATCTCTGGCTGAAAGGTGATCCTGGCTCCTCCAAACCTCAGACTGTAATCCTAGACACCCCAACATATCTGGCTTCAAACTCAGATCTGCTTACCTCTGCCTTGCAAGTGGTGGGATTAAAGGCATGGGTGACCTCCTCTCAACTTGGATTCAGTCTTTTTGGAGAGTTCAGAGATCACATTAGGTGACATTATTTCCTTTCTTGGTAATCTTTTCTTAATAGTTCTCCCTTCCCTTCTTTGGATGCTTATTTGTCCAAAGGTCTTAAATTCCTCAAGATATTTGTTTATATTTTCCTAAAGACAGAACCAAAACTCTTCCCCAGTCCTAACTTTGGGGAGTTTCCTAGTCTAGTCTTTATCAATTTTGATTTATGGTTTCTCCTGAATTTTTGTTAGCTTCTAAAGCTTTTCTAACATCCAGAACAATATGTTTTCTTTCATTAGGCATTAGGTTACTTAATTGTGCTGAGAAGGAGTTTCATCCACTGTGGCAGGAAACAAATGAACTGGTTTTAGCATAGGGGTTTTCAACTGGTTGGTTCCTCGAGGCATGCCCTGAAGGCAAAGAAGTACCTTGGTAATGTTTTTTGGCCTACATTCATTTGTCCAATACCTGCCTTTGCCCCACCTTTTGCATAATCCATAAGGGAGGGGTGTTGTGCTTGCATTATGTTTATAAAAAAGAATTGTTTCTAGACACACTCTGTTTACAATCCCTTTTCAAGTGACCCTGTCTGCCACAACTAAAACATTTGACATTTGGATTTTTCTTTAAACCTCTTGAAATCACCTCTCCTATCCATGCATCATTATCATGGCCATGCTTTTGCTTTTAAACGCCTAATTATCCTTTTGCATTGGACATTAGCATTTGCAAAATCCATTGTTTCAATTATTACTTTTCTAGCTTCTGTGTCTGATACAATTCTATTGACTGCTAATAACAGTCTTTGTAAGAAGTCCATGAATGTTTCCTTTGGGCCCTGTATGACTTTTGTAAATAATTCAAATTTCATTCCTGCTTTTCCAGTTCTGTCTCAAGCAGTTAAAGCTGCTGTACGATATAAACCCAAGAGATGATCATCATATAGGTATTGCCTTTCTAAAGTAGCATAATCTCCTTCTCCAAAAATTTGATCTTGGACATATCCATACCTCTTGCTTTAGGCTTTTATTCTATATTAGCCTCTTCTCTGAATTAGGAAGCCCACTGTAATTGTGGTCCAGGCTCTAGGACAACTTCAATCTAATCTATTCAATCTACAGGGATAACACTGTTACAAAGAGACCATGTTTATCATCTGCTTCACAAATGGTGAATGGATGCTATATGAGACTACAGCTTCCATAATTTCTCTAAATCTAACATTGTCACAGGCTTCCAAGTAGCTCTTATACAACCTCCTTCATTTGGCACTTCCTGTAAGGTTACTGTCTTAAGACTTTAAAGTGTTCATTTTTAACCGGAAAACATAATGCTGAATTTAGTTTTCCATGTAATTCCTCAGTCTGGATTTGAATATCTCTATAATCTGTTTTAATAAGTTTGTCTAAGACCTACATTTTAGTATTCGTACCAACCAACTTTTTTAGATATAAACCAAGGATTATCAAAACAACACAGGTTATCAAAATGATAATTAATAGTATGTCAATCCTGGTTACGGTGATTATCCCTTCATTTACTTTTTCCATTTTAAACCATCCATTATGTAATCATACACAGACCTAATTTTCTCTATTTTAATTGTGATTTCCATTTTTTAGTGTGGGGGAAAAACTTTTAACTCATCCCGTTAAGAATTTCCAATTAACTTACCAAATCTGCTGACAATGTCAGTGGAGCTGTGAGGTGTAGAACTTCTGAATTTGAGAACTAGCTTATGGCTGCATGAGCTGAGAGTGTCAGCCTGAGGAGAGGTACTCTAGGAAAAGCCATAAAAAGAGCCTCTCGAGTTTGGGTGGCAACTGAAGTCTGTTTAGAAAAGCTACAACCAAAAGTCCCACACTTGATCAAAGATTTGAGGAGAAGACCTAGCTGGTTTGGGCAGGGACTCAGGAGTCCTGCCTGCAGTTCAGGCTTGGGCCTGGGCTCTTGGCCTCAAAGAAGCTTTTTTGTGAATTTGTACTTTAACATTGGGTGCCTTTTTTTTCTCTCTGTATTAGACAAAGAAGGAGAATTGTGGTGATATAATGTTTATGACTTATTAAAGCTTGCCTGAGGATTCAGAAAGCAAAGCCAGCTTCAAGCTATAGAGATCAGGCAGTGGTGATACACACCTTTAATCCCAGCAGCCAGAAGCTAGGAGGTGGTGGTACACACTTTTAATCCTAGGACTCACGATTAAGAGGTAGATGGATCTCTGTGAGTCCAAGGCCACCCAGATCTACACAAGATTGATTCAGTCCTAAAGAGAAACAGCTCACATGAACATAATCTCAGCACCTGGGATCACACACCTTTAATCCCAGCACTAGAGGGGTATAAAAGCAAGGCCTTCAATGGTCAGTATTAGGGATTCATTCTCCATCTACATTGAGGATGGAAAGACATTAAAGTCTCAGGATTCTCCAGCCATGCTGAGGCCAGATTACAGTCTGAGGTTTGGTGGAGCCAGAATCAGCACTTTTAGCTGAGGTGGTGGCAAGAGCTAGTGACTTCCATGCTTTGCTTTTCTGATCTTCAAGCAAGCTTTAAGAAATCATAAATAATTTATCACCACAGAATCCTGGTTTTCCATACTACAAAAGAGATTTTATGTGCAGTTTTCTGTGTAAATGACATAGGTTGAAATCTCTGGGGCAAATTCTACAACTGAAGCTGTCACATCTTATAAAAGTTCCCTGAGACTGACCCAATATGGAACAATGTAGGATTGAATGTATACATATAAATGCTCACAATCAGAATACATGGCAGATAGTCTTTCTTTCCTCTACTTCCTTTATATTTCTGAATCTCACATGAACAACTATCATTTAAGATACCTTTTCTTAAGAATACTCAGAGTCAAACCCAAAGTGATCTATCACTAAACTATATCACCAGCCATTAGTGTTTTCAGTCTCACCTGTATAACTTAAACTAACGTTGAACTCACAATGCTTCAGCCTCCATAGCGCTAGAATTGTAAGCTTCTTAGAGACTTATTAGTTGATACTAATATTATTTTATTCAATAAAAAGGTAAAGTGAGGACATGGAGAAATTATAGCCCTTATGAATTGCTAGTAGAAATTTAAAGTATAGCTACTGTATAAAACAATTATTGTATTATATATGAAGTCCCAAAATTTTAAAAAGCATCAGTATACCAATGCTTAGCATATCCAGGTAAAAATAAATATCAGGTTAATGAATGAAGTATAAAACATACCCTATATGTACTTGTGTGTGTGTGTGTTATTTAGTCTTTAAAAGGAATGAAATTCTGATACATACTCCTACCAGATGAATTACATCAAGCCAGGTACAAGAAAAAAAATACTGTATGAATCCAATTACATGAAACTTGGAGGAAATAGAAATTACCAGGGAGTTTTGAAAAGTGAATGGGAAGTTAATGTTTAATTGCCCCTGAGTTTCAGTATGGACTGGAATAATTCTGAACTCAGTAGTAATGGTTGTATAACATTGTAGATATACTTAATATTCATTGTACATTTACAGTAGGTAAAGTAGTAAATTTTTGTATGTTTATCAAGGTAAATTAGAATAAAAGAAAACAGGGTTGAAGTAATAGATGTGAAATTATATAAAACTTAAAGCGTTTTTTCTCAGCAAAGACTCTCAGGAGTAACGTAGAAGAGTTCCATTTTAAAGTGAAGCCATTCTTAAAATATGTAGGCTGATTTATTTCATCAGTCCCTCTTTTAGTCCCATGTCTCTTAGCAGCTGTCTTTTTCTTATCAGCAACCAAAAATCTCAAAATCAACACAATAACATACAGGATCCAGATTCCCTGTCTATTTCCCATCTTAAGTGACTTTTTTTCTTTTGTAATACTTATACTCTCTTTTTAAAGACTTTATTTTAAACAATTTTTATAACTGTCTATACCCTTTCGTTTCTTATGCCTATGCCCATTGTTAAATACACTGTAACCTGCTTAGAGGGTTTTCCATCTGGACCTCTTTTACTGCTTATCTTTCAGCTTTTTTTTAGTGCTTGAGTCTTTAAACTGCTAAAAGTGGCTTGGCTAGAACCTTCATGGTCTCTACTTAAGTTTCTGCCACCAGGTTCTTGCTTTGAGTCCTTGTCCTTACTTCCTTCAGTGATAGATTATGGCCTTAGAGTTATAAGGTAAAATAAACCATTTCTATATCTAGGGGTTTTTGACTAGTGTTTGTTACAACAGCAGAGAAGCAAACTAAAGTATCTACCATCATTCTTCAGCATGTATCAAATTTATCATTGGATTAGATTGTTTTAGAATATTTGAGAGGCTACCTCTCTTGACTAACAGCTGAAGGGAGGCAAAAGGAGCCTGCCCCAGAGTAGGAGTCCTGCCATCCTTCACATCACTACTCCAAAGACTATGAGGCAGATTTGAGAGTCCCTAGGTATAGCAAGCCAAGTTCTTGTTGCATCTGGATACCAGAGTTTTCAGAAATAGCAAGGAACACAAAAGGCCACTAAGCCCGTAATCTGGACTGAGACTTAACATAAAGCACCTGAGGCTTTAAAAACTGCTCTGCCAACTCTGATAGTGCAGCTGTGGGTGAGCAAGCCCCAAAGTTGTGAGCATGAGAGAACTGTCCTCATTGCTCATGTCATTTGGTGGCA